CTGCGTTCAATGCATTCGTCTGCCATTAAAGCTTAACGACGCACTCAGCTGATGAGGCTATCTGGTGTCGCACGCCTCTTATCCTGGCAGTAAGGGCGCCACCGCTGGGAATCGAACCCTGCACCTCTGCTTTGCAGACACGCAGCTTGGCAGCACTGGATTGCCGGCACCCCCGTTTCCAACACGATGGTAATATTTTAAAGCAATGCACCTTATTCTGGCGCATTTGACAACAAATTTAGGATCCATCCCTCCCAAACGGAATTTGGCCGCTTCATAGCTTCCGTGCGAAATTTGCCGTCACCCCAAAGCATACTTCGTCGTACAACAACATACAACATGTGATTTGGGATACATTTCCAAAACGGCATGGCTGGCCATAGCTGTGAGCAAGACTACTTAACCCTAAACATAACGGCAGCCATTGGTCTGCAGGTAGCCAGCCCATCGGGTCCAGCGGTCTAACGAACTCACCGCGCGCGTGGCGGTTCGAATGTTGAACGCCGTTGTAGGCTGACACAGTTTACTGAACGCACTCAAGCCGGAAGTGACGGGTTTTTGCGGAAATTAAATTTCTAGGTTAGTGCTTGTGATTGGAATCCTATCTTATATAAAATGAATCAAAATTTTATCAACAACAGTTCCGCTAAAGAAATGATCATTTCAAATGAAGAATTAAGGCATTGTGGGAAATTAGCAAACTTGGCGTAATGTTCCGATTCCGTCACGCCCAATTTGTGCACTTAAATTTCGACCCAAAAGATGGTGCTAACGCTTGACAGTAACAACTGCTTAGAGAATTCATCTTTATGACCGATTCAACCGCCGACACGCCTACAGCAATTCGTTAATGACACAGTTCGCCATCAGCGAACAAAAAATCACTGCCTTTTACTATAATGCATGTAAATCATTGCAACCAACTACCGGTTTACCCACATTTCCCCTTCCCATAGTCCCCTAGTAGCGCATCCAGAATCCAGATCCAATCATTCGATAATTGTCTCATACTGCCTCGCCTGCACCTGTCCTGATATGCTGTGCCGCTCTACACAGGTGTCCACCGGAACAGTATCCCCACGTCCAGCACCCGGCCGACAACCCCGTTCACCTGTGCGGCGGCCCGATCCAGGTGGCTGCGCGATCCCACCACCCCCTCGAGCCATGAATTTCCTGACACTTCACAGCCTTGGATTGCGCATACGACTGCAGGTCACCCTAACTGAACGCACGGAACAGAACGAGGAGCAGACTCAGGAGCAGGCGCTTCTGTGACTTCGGACACCCCGGAGCATTTGTTACATATAACACCAGTTCGTTTTCATGCGAAATACTCTCATAACGCTGCTCATATCTACCAGCTAACGCCCACACATTCCATGACGCGATAAAAAAGCATTGCTACACAGCAGCCCAAAAGCACCTTGCGACTCTCGCAGCACACCGGATGTCGTACGCGTCCTTCGCCGTCCACGGACGGCTGACGTTGCTGCGCAGCGCTTTATCCTGGACATGCGAGAACGCGCGCCGCTGTGACCCTGGTGCGGGTTGATCGTGGATCTATTGGCTGCTCTTCATGTCAAAGAGAGGCACGGCGAGGACTCAGCTTTGCCAGCGGACAACTGGCTGTGATCTCACGGGCGAAGAAAGCTTGATGAGAACAAAGCAGCTACACAGGAGACTGACGTGTAACTATTTTAAGGTCATATGACTCTTAAAATTTGGTGAAACACGTCCTAGAGCTGCCGCTGTTTTGTGTCCAACCAGAACCTTCAACGGCAGATCCCAAGAACCTCAGTCGTTGCAGTTGCTGGCCTTGTGAAAACGGACGCAGATAAGGCTACGGTTTGAGGAGAAGGTGCGCTGGGAATGGTTTCCACAGTTTCCAAAAAAAAGCAAAGGTCTCCAGCCGTAAATCTTAAGCTAAGCGTGTACTATTGTGGCGAAGTTGTTCGCTTCCATCTCATGACTTTTTATTACCGAACACTACCAATTGCTCATATATTGGACCTACCTGTAACCTTGAAGTATCTGTGGTCACTTTGATGTTAGACCGCACGGACAGCTCACTTGGCTCCAGCTTTTAGAACGGGACAGCTCACATAGCTCCAACTTTTAGAACGGAACCCTGAGTGAGAGAGCCTCAAATTACAAAGGTGCATGACCCAAACACACCGCTCATTAGCTTGTTGACAGTAACCGCAGGAGCATATTACAGAAAATTCCACTGGTGTGGTTCGCTGTGCTAATCCCTGGTGCCATTCGAAATATGTCTACATAAATGTGTCACCCCCTAACCGAATGAGAGTCATAATTATCATTATACTTGCATGGTTGCAGACCCTTGCTCTGTCATATTGCATCAATCGTGCACTGATGAGTCACGTTTAATGTGCACCCTGTGTATTGGAGCAGTCGAAGTCGGCAATCACATACACCGTCATTTTCACGTCATTTTCATAGTCACTATGTCCGTTCACCGTACATTCCACGTCGGCCACCGCTTGCTCCACGCGACGTCACCCGGTCTGGCGGTCGTGACCATCCACTTCACTCGGTCGTGACTTCATCATCGTGACTTTACTCGGTGTGGCGCTCTGCGTCGTATTGTGGTGTCTCCGACCCTTCCGTTGCCAACCCCATAAAAATATCCGGGGCTTAATTGATTTCCCAGGCGACCCGTTACCTGAGCTCCGCCGCCGGAGAAGTGATTATTTTTTGCGTCCCTAGGTTTCGGACCTCCCTGGCGACCTCGCCCGTCTAGAGGTGAGCCGAACAATAGCAGGGGGAGAGGTGGGGAGGTGGTGATAAACTTCGACAGGCGAGCGAGACGGGAGAAGGAAAGGGTTGATGACCAGCTCCTCAGCACGTGCACCTACCATGGGCTTCTGACCCGAGCCATGATGTCCAGCAAACAGGATATTCGTAGAAAATCAATGGTTTATATCTTGCTCATGATGGCGTTAAATCTGAAAATCCATACTTCATGGATGGGTTAAAGATTCAATACAAAGACTACAAGAAATGCTCAAGTAACGTCATTGTAAAGTGAACGATAAATATGTAATTTTCTTCTAACTCACTTTTTGCAAACAGCATGCATAGATACACCATGTGCTGAACTACGGCGGTGAAAGAACATCTCTGAAAAGTGTCGGACTAACAGTTTTTGAAGTAGATCATTTCCTCATAGCAAGATTTTATCAACATTTGACAACACGCACAATGGGGGGGTCACACGCCATCTGCCGTTTCTAGAGACTTTGACGCACCGTGCATGACCAGCTGCAGGTAATGGTTTTGACATTATCATAAAGGTATTGCTTATCTAAAATGCTAGATTCCAAGATAAACGCACACCCTCTCGTCGCATGGACTGTGTGTGGGCAGCTTTTTAAATCCATTAATTTGAGCACATGTGCTGTAAATTATAATGCCAGAGTATGGCGATTTTTTCAGCCTAGAGATGTACGCGAAGTTTCTGTTTTGAACGATGCCACGATAAACCACACAGGCTACAAAGACAAATTACACCTTAGAATATCTCTGTGGCGTTCATAACTTGAACATGACGTATATGTAATGTAAATTTATGTCATGTAGTGTACATGTAATGTACACAACGACGCGATTGCACGGTGAAGCTCGTATACCTTACACCACGTTAGTCCAGTAACAACGCCTTAATAGACGTTAATGAGGCCCGTAGACCTCGGGAACACGTGCTCGTGATTTGGGTTGAGCAGGAGTGCCCGAGTAGTAAATGAGATTATAGTCGGGCCGGTGCCAGGCGCTGGCTTACACGAGACCCCGCCCTCGCCGCCTGGTCGACACGCCCTGACCCGGCCTCGGCCCCGACCGGTTTATCGCCTGTTACCTGGCTTTAACTAGTTGGTGGAAGTCGCTGTTTGCCGGTGGTGAAGCGGAGTTATAGCAATCCTGAAGCGCAGATGACGGCAATATGGGCCCCAACAAATCCTGTGTAATGCGCTGACAAGGACTCGTTCACCGGCCGTATTAATTTTCTTTTACTGTTATTCGTGTGTGCATACACTCAACACTTTTATTTGGTTTGAAAGGATATGGAATATATGTTTGTTTAATGGAGCGTGGAGCGCCTGACACTGTCGGCCCTGGCATTACCCCCTAACTGTGACCGTTTGCAAGTGGTCGGTAGGCGGAGCACCACAGTCACGTATTTGCAGCACGACACACGCGTCAGGCTCACATATTATACTCCATTTCAAGCATGTCACGCTACTTGCACATTTTGCGCACATTACGCTAGCTCGATATTTGTATCGCAACTTGCTTTGTGCACAGAGTATAAGGGGTTGAAGTCCAAAGGGCGCCAAGAACAGAGTGAAGTGCACCGTCAAGCACGGGGAGCTTTAGAGCTATAGTAATCTGAACAATACTTCCTAAGTTCATGAACATGGCGAAATTAAATAGAGAACGTCAGGGTCAAGACGGGTGATATATCTCACGCCCACTCACCTGGGAATGGCGCCAGGGAAAAGTGCTATCGCTAGACAACAGAGAACAAGAAAAAAGATACTTATCTTGAGCTTCAGTTTTACGTTGTCATATTCCGATTTTTTATTGTTACCCGGCGTACCCCAGCATTTCCATTCCCGTCTCACGGTGTCAACACTGTTTTTCCTTTTTCTGATGTGTTAGTGCTGATATCAACGTCCCCATGTGCGCCGCGTACTGATGCCGCTGCCCTCCGCTTGCGCTGCCTCTCTGCGTGCCGCACCCTGACCTGCGGCTCCTCCGCATGCCGCTCACTGACTCTTGTGCTCCCGGCGTGCCGCACGCTGACGCTGCTACTCCACCCCGTACCGCACACTGACGCCTCTGCTCCCTGCGTGCCACACACTGACGCCTCTGCTCCGTGCGTGGCGCACACTGACGCCTCTGCTCCCCGCGTGCCGCACACTGACTCCTCTGCTCCCGGCGTACCGCACACTGACGCCTCTGCTCCCTGTGTGCCGCAGTGAGCCGACTCGGGAGATGGAGGGGCGCGGCAGCCAGCGGTCGGTCTCCTCGCCCGGCGGCCGGGCAGGGCCACGCTCCCGGGGCGCCGACTGGAGGACGCGCCAGTACGACAGCTCCTCAGACAACGACGATATCGGTGAGCACACCGGGTCACGGCGACCGACGGGTTGTCCAGGGCGTCAGCATGCCAGGGCGGGGGAGTGTGGGCGCGGATGGGAGTCTAGAGGGGCAGGAGAAGAACCACGTTGCTGAAAAGAGGGGCGCGGTAGGTAGTGTAGGTAGTGAAATATATTAAGTTCGGACCTGAAAGTTCGACAGATTCCTCAGCCCCTTGAAAAGGCTTTTCCTCTCTCTCTCTCTCTCTCTCTCTCTCTCTCTCTCTCTCTCTCTCTCTCTCCTCTCTCTCCTCTCTCTCTCTCTCTCTCTCTCTCTCTCTCTCTCTCTCTCTCTCTCCTCTCTCTCTCTCTCTCTCTCTCTCTCTCTCTCTCTCTCTCTCTCTCTCTCTCTCTCTCTCTCTCTCTCTCTCTCTCCTCTCTCCTCTCTCTCTCTCTCTCTCTCTCTCTCTCTCTCTTCCAGTGCCAGACCTTCAAGACGAACGTGGCACGCCGTATCGAGCCGTGCCCTGGACCCAGACCCACGGCAAGCGCCAGATTGGCAACACGATCCGAAAATTATGTTCCGTACTGCTCGGTACGTCATACGCCGCCGCACCGGTGCAACAAGAGACCCAATCAGTGACCGACGGCGTTACCATGGCAACGACTGCGTCATGCTCCGGTGCAGCACTGTGGGGATGGCGCAGCGTTCTGCTGGAGTTTATGCTGGCGGGAGCTGGTCTGGAATCCGTCTGCGGGGAGAAGAATGGCCCTTGTGACGTGCTTCATTTGTCGGTTCTGGCCCTCTGGCGAGCCATCTGAAGAGCGATAGCGACGTCCCATGCAGTTAGCTTTCATTATTAGACATGCTCTGTACAGATGCTGGGCCTAAGACACTGACTAGTCTAAGGCTTTTCACAAACTACTTTTTCTTGCTGAAACGCAGAAATGACAAACTTAGTATACCCGCCACAAAAATGTGAAAAAGTAATAGCACCAAGCTATTTTGTAGGCATAGCAATTTTGTTCCGCGCATAAAGTTACAGTTATTTTATTATAAATGCACATGCTTGTAATTCAAGCTGGTTTTTAGTTGTTTGACGTCTTCATTATTTTAAAAATGGCATTGCCCTGCCACTGACTTTCCTGCATCCGCAAAAATATGTTTTACAAAATCGGATGAGCCTGAAAGTAGGAAATCCTAAATTGGTTGTAGTTGTTAGCGCCTGCATAATTTATGAATCGCATGTAACCAAATGCAGTTGCTCTCTGACAGGGTTGGGTTACTACAGACGCCCCCTTGCAAGGCTGCTCAGACAGCAATCTAAATCAGCCTGGCTAGTCAAGCCACTCAACTTTGAAAGCTTTGCGAGTTGAAATAACAGCATTACTCTGCGTGATGTGTATTTCCAACAAAGCAAAAATGCCCACGGCTCATGCGGAGCAACTGCTGGCCAACACTGACAGTTACTCCAGACATCTCTGTGGTCGCTAATGCTCCTGGTGGCAAACTGCGGTGTTCTCCGGACAGGCTAATTAATTGGCCAGGTCTTGCATGCTGCTCCCAGATGTCTCGAGATGCAATTATTCCTCCTGGCTTGACCTCGCTAATTACCAGCGTCGCCGCCCGATTGGCTGGAGCTCGGGCCAGTAGCTGAACATACGACAGGCAGACCGCCCAGACCTAATGTCTGATTGGGTACCCGGGAAGTCCGAGAATCATGTGAGCTTCGCGTGCGAGGAGACCAAGCCGAGGTATGAAAGACCGTTTGGATGGTGGCTGGCTGAAATGGGATGGGTTGAATGTTACTACTAATGAAGCGTTTGGTTCTTTTTGTTCCCCCAGAGATATAAAAATGCGGTCATATGTTGGCCTCGTCCTAGGACTTAATGTGTCTGGAACATGAATGACGTCATCACATGTGGGAGAGCAGAAGGCACCAATACGTTCGGGCTGTCTTGGCCAGCTGTCTTTAGAAGCCATGGATCTGCTGTTTACGGCCAATCGTCATGGTTTGTTCCTCACGGGCTGCAGCCGCTCCCCCAATTTCCCCGTACAGTGCCAGGCTTAAATGCTCTGTGTGAAAATAGCTCGCACAGACAGATGGGCGAAGACCCCCGACAGGAGATTACTCCGGCGTATCAAACCATGCTTGCTCCGAATTTATTAATGCGAACTGGATGAGCATCAGACGATGAAGCCTTGTGGCACGCTTGGCTGCCTCAAGCGGGCAAAAAAACCCATCACAGTAAGGTAATCGGTTAGATGCTACAGAAGTTTTTCACAAAATGAACTGGTCGATTGGAATCGCTGTTCAGATCGCGTCTCCGGGTGGTGTTGCAAATGGAGGTTTTTAAAAGCTTAAATGCTCTCTTCGGGTCTGTCTGGCCCGCCCCTGCCTTGCACATTCGAGAGTCAGTGTTCACTGGTGCATTGTTACGCCTAATCTATTTCATTTTCGAAATGCACTCGGGGCGAAACCTCACTGAAAGTACCAGCAGGCGTTAGAAGGCTTGTTACAAAGTGTATGACACCCTGACGGGAATGTAATGTGCTTCAAATAACACAAAAAAACAAAGCACAATGATGTGCATAGCTGTTGTTCCTTTTGCAGTAGATCTGATAGCGATGTGAGTCATTGGGAGCCTTTGCGATTGTAAATAAGATGCATACCTCGTCATATCAAAAGTTGGCATACATTCTTTAAACGTTTAGAGAATGTGTCTCCATCACCCTTTATGCCCTGGGAGCATTTACAAAGATGTGAAAGCTGCGTGAATGTGAATGCTTGCAAATGCGTCCGGCTCCGTAATGCTATCAAATTGTAATAAAATATTAGTTCCATGTAGGACGATGCACAGCAATGCACGAAACCGTGCGGAAACCAATGCCCACTTCAGTCAGTATTGAGGCCACCAGTCGTGGTGCGTCGCTACCTCTTTCAATTGGGCTTTGCTTGACTACATTTCTGTACCGTTGACGTTTCTTCTGCTCTAGTTTATTTCAGAGTGTTTTAAATAACAACGGTGTGTTGTTTAGTATTCAAAGGACACTCTATTGTCTGCAGCCGGTATCGCGTTTGTGAGAGACTTATCGCACTGTCGCGCCGGTGTAAAACTGTCAGACAATGACGTAGCTGTGAGGCGGACAAACAATCCCCTTTGTGTGAGACCGACATGCGACGGTTCTGTGCGTCCCGCGCGCGTCTGGGAGTAACAACACATTCGCACTCGCATCCAACGCATCTACACGGTGCGCAAGTGGGCGACCTGGCGCTCCTAGTCTGGCTTCCACCGCTGCGCCGTAAATCTGGCGCGGACGGCCGCTCCTCGAGCCGAGTTCCGCTCCGTCTGGCACTGTTAGTCGGACACGTCGGTGGGCCGCGAGCGAGCCCCCGGCGGTGCAGCTGGAGCGGCCAACCGGGCCGCGCCACCCGGCCGAAAAATAAATCACCGCCGCCTTCGGGAGACAATTACCGCCCCCGGGCAGGCGGCCGATTGGGAAAAACGGCGCACGGCGGCGCGCGGCGCACACGCACCGGCCGCACGGCAGATTGGCTGCACTCGCGTCTGCCAGTTTCAACTGGCTCGTCGTGTCGGCCGCTTGGCAGCATCCTAATGCAAGCGCCGGAGCAGCCTGTGACTGCAAGAGCAAAAAGGAGGGATCTTGGATCATCGATTCCGGGAATGCTGTCGTGCGTAGGCGGTGGTTAACAAAAGCTGGAAGAGCAAGGGACATAAGAAACTTTGAAACTTCGTCATTACTTCACGATATGTCTCATTATCAGGTCATTATCCGCATCCTAATAAGGTATCGCGTACTACATGAAATATCTCAGCTTCTACATGACGTGTTGTGCTCTGGCTGTCGATTGTTTCACACAGCGAAAAATGATTGCTGCAAAAAGGACGTTTCGACAGGCGCACATCAGTAATATGCCGTTACACAACAGTATCTATATCATAAAGATGGCAGTCTTGTGAGTCTAGCTTGCAGGTCAAGCCCTCAATTCGGACAGCACTGCTGAAAAGCAACACGACAGCCATCAGGAGATGAGTCACATCAGTCAATTCGGTCGTCTTCTTTCATTTGATCCTCCCGATGTAAGATCAAGCAGTGACCCATTTTGAGTCCAATACGTTCCCGCTTTCCTTGGACCGCTGTCTCGTACTTCATCATCAGAAAAATTTCTACCGCGCAGTCCGACAATAAAACGGCAGCGCACCGGATGTCTCCCAGAAATCGTACCATAGCCCCAGACATCATTTAAATGCTGTGAATTGCATATTTATGCATCCACTGCATATCTAGACATCACTTAAATGCTGTGAACTGCATATTCATACCATGTTTTGTGCATATTGATTGCTTGGTTATGTAAGTTCTGTTAAACTTCAATTGCCTGCTTGTTTGCGTGCTTTTCGGTTGAGCTACAACTGGGTGTCAGTAAGTCAGGCATGGTGATTAATCCAGCACATGTTCCAGATGTCGTTTTTGTGCTCCTTGCTGGGGCTGGCGCGCGCCAAAATTTGTGGGAAATATCTTCTGGAAAACACTAAAAGCTTTGCTGTCTACCTTAAATGTTTTCCGGTGTTTGCGTAGCTGCATTGTGAGGACGTATTTTACTTACGAGCTTTTTAGGTTTGGAGCGATATGCAAGCGGGCCGATGAGATATTCGAGACGCTATCCCTTCTTTGAAAGCAGATTTACAGATCCTCAGATGTGCGTTTTGCTCATGCCGAAAACGACACTTCTCACTCTGTCTCATCGACGTGACTGTTACTTCCTACATACATATTTTTCATACAGACATGAGTTGCATTTGCTTTTTCCCTTAGTTTGCTTCAAATGTTGTCAAAAATGAAGACCCGGTAGACGTAGATACCAAGACTGTGGAAATCTTTAAACAGTCCAGAATCTGTCGACCACACTCTCTGAAGTGTGTGCTCAAACACCCTCTGTTTTCCTCGGCGATGTGAGGTGGCGCACTAGTCTGCTAGACCCATTACGCCGTCTCCTGGATACTGCCTTACCTTTCAAGGGCACTTCAAATTACGTTTAGAATCTAAACGTTCATTGCGCGCCCTTAACGCACCACAGCGATAAAGATAAAGTACCTGAAAATAACCCGTTGCAAATATGCCATGAATCGATTGCTAGGAGCAAACGTTGAACTCACAACCGTGCAAAATAAAACAGACGAACGCATAAGTGAAACTTTTCAAGAAATGTTATGATGAAAATGCTCTTTTTAGGTTCATTTTTCCTGAGCAACGCCACGGAGCTGATGCCAATTTTCAGAGGATATGGTGATGCAGCCGCATTTGCAATTAATAATTACGTTACATCCATGGCCATTTGAAGCCATTTTCCTCAAGTTGTTAGGTTAGTTTTCCTTCCGTTCTCTGTTTATTGACATCTTATTATTGCTGGACATCAGTCCAGGTGAAAAATTCCTCTTGAACGATGGTTATGCACAGCGGAGCGATTCACTAAACTCTAGTGTTGCATCTAACATCAGATTACGGAAGAAGCCAGAGTCCATTTGTTGAGAGAAAGCTCCAAATTGATGTCCATTGCATTAAGAAATAGAAGTGTGAATTTAGGTACTTCCACCGTCTGGAAAATTGGGTCGAGTCCACCTTTGGTCGCAAACCGCTAAGATTCCAGTGTTGCCCTCAACATCTTGGATTGGACAACTGTGATTGGATGGAATAACTTCCTTCTAACGTCCTGAAATCACGAAAAAAACACTTTCTAGTTATATTGATTGAGTCAGGGAATGCGATTCAGACCTTATTACAGTATGAGCACGGGTTTCACTCTTTCTATGTTGCAGCTGTGTGAGCTGGAAGCGCACTTGAGGCACAGGATGCTTTTCCAAAACTCTTTCTTTCTCCCTCTCTCTCTCTCTCTCTCTCTCTCTCTCTCTCTCTCTCTCTCTCTCTCTCTCTCTCTCTCTCTCTCTCTCTCTCTCTCTCTCTCTCTCTCTCTCTCTCTCTCTCTCTCTCTCTCTCTTTATTTCTGCTTAGCGCCTTAGATAACAAGAACTGGTCTGATCACATTAGCATGTCTCTGGAGAGCACATCCGGTGTGGGTGAATTATTTATCGGTGCCCCCCATTCTGGTGCATAATTGACCTGTCACTTCTGAGGCCTACCCTTTATTACTCGTCGCTTTGTTCCCCTACCGGACGTCGAGGCAGACGCGTTCAAATCAGCTCGCGAAATTCTCGCACGTCTGATAGAAATTATGGAGATAACGTCACATGCGAGGCATATCTCTTCGTGGCTTTCCCCGCACTGGACGGTTCGTCTGCCCGAATTTGAGCCTGAGCGTGGCAGGGTCAGCGGGGTTCAAATATGCTGTCATATGAGCTTGTCAGGATCACGAACGTGAACAGAAATTTCGTCTGGGCTCATTCTCCCCCTTTCAAATCACTTCACAGGTTATACCACCGTTACAAGTGATTCGAATGTTTAAAAATGAGATTGTGCGCTGATTTGCGCCGATGACATGCCGACTCCTATCTTTCTGTAACATCCTTAACGTGTACCTAGCTTAAGCATTTCCGACTTAAGCTGTAGCACTCAGTCAGTTAGTTCGTTATTCGATTTTAAGGGTGCACCAACCGCAGTGTTTAGTGACACCAAGCTGTATTAACTCTGTACAATTTCAGACCGTTAAATTCTTATCTGACAGCACATGACAACCCAGGCCATTTACAAAAGATCCTCGAGCGTCCTGCAAACACCCATTCCTTTTACTAAAATGAACTTCAGCCCGCTGCGAGGATTCTGAGCGCCATTCCCCGCCCGTTTCTCTCGCGTCGTGCTCGCCGGCGCATAAGTCAGATCATAAGTCGCAAAAGTCGGCTGAGAGCCGGGACCGGGCTGCGCTCGGATGCCTCCCGGGAGCCGATGGACCGAGAGGCTCTGCAGCGTCCCGAGCCGCGTCCGTCCCGGGACATCCCGGGACGCCGGGGAGTCGGGACGGCTCGCAGGTGGCGCTGGAGCCCGTCACGGTAATCCCGGATTACGGGGCCGGCCGCCGCGGGCGTGGGGCAGGTCATCCGACGCCGCGCCGGTCCGCCTCCTGATACGGCACCGGCAGAAACAGCACTGGAGATGAGGCGCTGACAGGTGGCTGACAGAGGAGAGCGGACGATGGGGAGGGGAGAGCGGGGAGATGGGAAGAGATGCAGGCTGATATGAAGGTATCCGGTTATACTGGTCGGTGGATCGCCAAATATGTGTTGCTGAATGATTGTGGAAATAATTACACAATGAATGCTCCAGTGAAGGTATCCGTATACAATTACATGGTATTTTGACTTGCTCAGTCGCATCCCCAGGCATTATGCGGTTTTAGCTCCCCACAGCAGTTCAACTCCCTTGGTATCATTATTTTTATATAGCTTGTATAGGGCCTCGGGCTTCGCTGAAAACTTGTAACAAAGCTCTTTATTAAGCCTAATGAGCGCAGGCTTAATCGCCTCAAAAGTTTTCGTCTTGTATGAGTTTCATCGGGCTTGGTACCGGCATGCTCTCCTGCTGTAACTGTGCTGCAGGTCAACCCATTCAGCACCAGACCATTAGGAAAACTATGCGCTGCAGACATGCTCAGAGTCAGACAGAAGTCCGCATCCTGGGTCAGGTGATAAGCAGAGTTAAGCTGGCGTCATATCGTTTTGGTGACCACACTCATACAAATATTTGAATTCCGTTGAGCGTGTTAGGCCGCGATGCGTTTTAAACACCTTCCTGACGCGACAAAGACATCGCACAGCAGTCTGTCGCCCGAGTGCAGCGCGCCGGTGCCGTGTTCCTGACGCCTGTTTAAGGCCAGGGTGCCAAAGGACTCGCTTGTTTGGAAGACTTGTTGGCTCGGCACCAAGCGTCGATGACTAGGGGGGTCATCAAAACGTTGATAGCCTAATCACCCGACCCCTGGGTGGAAGTCAAGGGTCGAAGGTGCTTGACACCCTGGACCTTGACCACCCCATGTGGCGAGTCACGTCCTCGAAGGCTAGGGTTTGAATTCGTATGCAAGATATCTCGCTTCCTCGTTCAATTCTTAACCGGGCAGGGTACGTCACGGTTTCGGGAACGGCTTGAATTCAGTGTTATGGGCTATCACGCAAACATAAACAAGCATAGTTGTCTTACAGACCGTTTAAGACGTGACATCAATAAGTTGAGATGAGTAAATAGATGAGTAAATATATATATATATATATATATATATATATATATATATATATATATATATATGTGTGTGTGTGTGTGTGTGTGTGTGTGTGTGTGTGTGTGTGTGTGTGTGTGTGTGTGTGTGTGTGTGTGTGTGCGCGCGCGCTGTGATATTAGTCAGGCGTTTGCCCACCGCCCAACACCGTCCTCGTGCTGAATTTGACGCATTTCCCGGGGTGTATGATTAGTTTGCGTGTATAAGTGCCTTCCGGACGCAGCGCGGCCCTACCCGACAGCGACCAAAGTTTGCAGCGTAAGCTGCGTGTTCACCAGCATGTTCTCACAGGCCAAACCATAAGCCAGCCAAAGCACGCCTTGGTTAGCACGAGCTCTGAAATTGAGTGCGGAAGAACAACACGCTGGGAGCGGGTCACAAGCACCGTGTGTTATTAGCTACTTGTATTGACCCTCATAAGGTCACTGACATTTGTTGTATGGATCGCACTTGGACAGCAGGCAACAGAGATGTGACTACGTGATGTCGCTTTGACTTAAGAGCTGGGGTGGAAAAGAAAGCATCCCGTGTGTAACCAAATTAGTCCGATTTGATTCCACGCGCTTGATCGCAGAGCCGTCACTGATTGTTGATAAGTTGAAAACTCTCTCTGCTTTGGTCTACATGGGTCCACCCGCTTATTTCCGGCCCTATGTTCTCAGCTCGAGCATCGCAGCATGATACTTATCCGTATCTGTAACAAATATCATGCCTCTGAGACAAGTTCTCGTATTGCAAAGCCATTTTGCCATGCATACGTTCCGTAATCACGGAGACGTAACGTGGTGCTCGATGTTGGCAGAGGTGCCCCGTTGCCCTCCATGCGGGGATCCGCAGCCAGGAGTGCGCTGGTGTGTGATGAGCTCCTGGACGTGTGATGAGTTCTTCGGCGTGTGGTGAGTTTCTCGGCATGTGATGAGTTTCTGGCCGTGTGATGCGTACTGACAGCACGCCCTCTGCGCCGCAGCACCGGACGTGGCCGTTCAGCCTGCCTCCATCGTGCTGCAGCCGGCCAAGTCCGGCGACCTGAGCTGTCGCGAGCTAGGTGGATATCCGGGCCGCGGCGGCGCGCCGTACGGCGGCGAGATGGCCGCCGTCCGGCCCGACCACCTGCACTACGCTTCCAAGCCCGTCTCGTCGGGCATCTACCAGTCGCTGACGCGGCGCGGGCGCCGCGGGCCCGGCCACAAGCACGGCTCGCTCAGCTCGTCCGACAACAACTCCGACACGACTACGTACGCCGAGGGCGAGATGCGCTCCAAGATGGAGGCGCTGCAGAGCGGTGAGTGGCGCCGCTCGGTGCGCGCCGGTGGTGTAGGCTCGCGCTCGGGCGCTGAGGAACGGCGAGCTAACGTCGGACCGGATGACGGGCGAATGAAACGCGCCGGGAAGGATGTTTTGGTTTGTAAGTGTGCGCTCGCCGTTCAGGTGATCTTCCAAGCTCAACGTTGATGCAGCATTGTTTATTGTTAATTCTCGTTCGCATCACAAAGCGTATCAGTTGCTGGTATCCGTGAGATCTTCCATTTTAATGTTCGTTCCTGGGGATTTGGTATGATCTGTGAGGTTATGCATTATAATGTTGTGCATGACTTATATAAGACCACTTATTATTTTACTTACCTAGGGCTACTGATGAATTTGCTGACATTAGGCTGTTCATAACTTTACTTGCATTCAGCTCTTCATTTCAAGATTTTTTTCAAGCCAACTAGCTACCTCAGTTACCTCCACCCAGCACCAGCTCAACTGGAAACCTGCGGCCATTTGCCCTCCCCTCCCACAAACGCTATCGACGACTGGCGGACCGTGTTCCCAGCGCGCGCGGTCGTTCGGTGGCGACGCGGTCCCCTGGTCGTCTATATCGGCCTCTCAGGCCTGATGTATGCGGCTCGGGAAGTGCGCCACCCGTCCGCCCTCCCCCTCCCCCTCCCTCACCCACTCCTATTGGGACCGCAACGGGTCTCCAAGCTTCCATCCACCCCTGCCCTCGCCGAAATGCGCTCGGCTCAAGTGGTGTCGCAAATTGAGTTAGAGCAGCCCCAGGGAAATAAATCGCTGTAAATTCGCTGAGCTGTGCCCTTGTGTCGACGACTGGACTGGCCACGGGTCGACGCCATCCACTGCATCGGAATTAAGGCTTTGTTACTGCACATTTTTTCCTGTGCTCCGACCGAGATGGGGAGAGATCTTATTGGATTGTAACATAATGGGGCTTGGGAAGTTTGAAAGGCACCCCCCCTGGGCTGAAAGCATGCGTGAGCTGATATGGTTTCTTTAAAAAATCGGGGTAGAAAAGTAAGGAAAAAGTACTTTAAATATAAAAAAGCTGGGATAGTACGGGTATCAAATCGGCTGTTATGCAATTGAAAATATAGAAGCAAATGTGATATATGATTGAAAAGCTCATTGGTGACTATTGGAATGCTTTTAAATTAAAAAGACCATTCTAAATAACAAACTGTCATGGGTTAGTAAATATGCTCCCCACATCATTTATTTTACGTCATTGAACGTTTCTTTGACGTTGGAGCCGCTGCCAGACTGGCTGTGTCAAAGTTGCCACTGTAGCGGACTACGGGATTCACTTGTGGCACTTCTAATCGCCGGAAAATGGCACAAGATGGTGGTTAATGCATGCGTATTATATTAGTGCGTTATCTTTGTTTGCTTTCGTACCATCGTGTGGTGATCTTGTATATTTTTCCGTGATGGCATGCTTCTTAATTGCATTTTAATTTTTAGTTGCGGCGCCATTGTTAAGTTTTTTATCCTCAGCCTCATGCCCATCGTAACGAGAAGTTGCTTGTGCTGATTATCATACAACGTGGTGGGTGACCGTGGCATGCGATCGAAGGCTCATCTAACTGTTCGCCAATCTGCTTCTATTTTTGGGGCACTTGGTGATGATTCACTGCAAACCCGACTCCTTCAGTAGGCATATGGATCATGAGCGCAAAACAGCCAATGCGGTGGGGGTTTGGGTGGAGGCGTAACGTTTCTATGACGTCATGCGTGTCTTGAACAGTTTCAAATTGGCGGCGTGAAATTGGATGCACAAATTTGGTTGTATCTAGCTCAGAACAAGAGGACTTTGAGTCTTAAAAAGGCTATGGCTGTGAACTGTAGGGACTAATCTTGAAATGACTATCTCAGTTTAAAACCGCGTACAAATGTAGAACAGGCCCCTCGAGGAATAGCCACGACATCAAGTGGAATATAAAATATCAAAGAAATAGTCAAAATGGTTACAGAAAGATACGCCAAGTTAAATCAAGGCTGCAGAAAGATCAGGGAAAGAGAACCGTTTCTCCTCAAATGGAGACGCCCAACTTGACGGGGACTTCAAAAAGCAATCTGCTTTGGACAAATCGTTGCATCGCCCGCAGGACCGCGCTGTCTGCCTCGCCAAGAAAAAGCAGACTTAGCCCTGACTTTTTAGGCTCAAACATTGAGGAAGAAGAAACAAAATAAACAAAGCTAAGCAGTCAAAACAACACTACGTGCATTTTCGAAACGACGGCTCCAATGCTTCTGAATTAATGAGAATACAAAGCCTCGCATTATGTCAGCCTGGTTCGCATGCGACCTTATGGACTTACCGCTGTCTTACCGCAGCTTTATGCAATCGATCTTAGATCGATCATGCATAGTGACTTTCTCTTGTCTTATCTCCAGCTTCTCACTTCCTTCCGCTGTTTTCCAAAGAGCCCTAAAATATTGATATAGAACAGAATTCGCAGAGGAGCGCTCCATTTATTGCAGAATCTTGCATGCAATCTCCTGATTGCCCCTGATGGCATAAGCGTCTGTATCAAATGGTTCTCATCATAATAGCGGACATGATTTATTAACAAACTTGAGACGGCAGCGGCGCCAGATAATGATGACGAGCTCCTGCCGCCTCTCGGCTATCTCAGCGGGAGGCGACGGGGGACCGGGACGGCAAGCCAGGCAAATGAGCTCGGGCGGGCTGGTCCGCTCAAGGGCCCGGCTGAAATACGTGGCAAGCAAAACGATAGTAGTGCCGAGTTAGCTCGCTTGGAAAGTCACAAATGAACAGCATGTATGCCGTAAAAGGCAAGAAATCAATGGGGCAGCAAGCGACGCTGTTATAATCAATGCGGTGACAGGCCCTCAGGCGGAAACATGACGGGTGATGTCACCGATGTAGTGGAAAACGTTAATTGTGTTTGTGTTGCCGGCGCTGCATTGGTCAATACTTTCCAGATACTAGCGGTGGTTTTCTGATATACCAACAAATGGGCTCGCACCATCACGTCAGTATAGTCGAGCTGAGTGTGTTGTGGTGACGCTTGCCGCGGTGCCGCAGGTCTGCACACGCCGCCGGAGCCAGCGCCGCCAGAGGTACCCTCGCGCGGCCCCTCCTCGCACCAGGCGGTCCGCTCTCTGCAGCGACTGCAGTCCGGCTACGCGCCGGACACGGACGGCGCCTTGCCCAGCCCCTCAGGTGAGCACCTGCAGCAGCTGCAGCCGCTTCTGCCGCGTCGGCTGCTGCAAACGCTCCGGAGCCGCTTCGTCACGTGACGTTGGGCTTACAACCGGGCACATGGCAGGTGGAAACTGCGACATTTCCGAACAGTTCGTTAAAGCGTTACGTAGATGTTCAGGCGTTGTGTGTGCGTGAGGTGAACCGAATGTCTACCTCTCGCTCTCTCGAGACAAAACAGCAAGCTGGCTAACCGTCGATAAGTGGTGCGGACACAAATGAAACACTGGGCATGCTTTTGAAAGCAAATATAATTTCGCCGATAAAATTTTGTGGAACAAAATTTTGTGAAACAAGGTGCGCCCCGAGTCTTCTCGCAAAAATGTTGGGATGGTCAAGACAAATGGCTTATCAAGTGTACTATCACTTAGTGCAAGCAAAGCCTTCCAGAATTTGTTGAACAAGCGCGATGACATGAAAGTCGAAACTCAGAAGAAGTGCTGAGGTCCCGCGTTAAATGGTCGAATATTTTGCGGAGGTGCCTCTGGGCTCGGTCTTTGCTTCAATCGACTTGTTGTGAAGACCGTTACCTCACTATCGTAGTGAGGGATTCCAGTTACCTCACTACCGTAGAGGAGGGATTCCAGTTCAGACCGTCGTCACACTATCGTAGTGGAGGGATTCCAGTTCAGGCCGTTGTCACACTATCGTAGTGGGTGGACTCCAGTTCAGACCGTTACCTCACTACCGTAGTGGAAGGATTCCATCTCAGCCGACGGTGATCTCCGAAGGTCTCAAACTTGTCACGCGCGGCGGTGACACGGCCGCCGGTGCGGGTATGATTCCCGCGGCAAGTTTCTACTTAACTGACAGCGGCGACTGACATAGCCTGGCTCCTCGGACATGGTTCCACTCGCCTGACACGTGGAGGCCAGATGTTCGGCTCTCGAACAACTGGGGTACAGGGACGGCGAAGGCGTAGGACGGACGGCCGGCGGCGTAGCTGCTGTATTGAGCCGTTCATACATGCCGGAAACTACTCCTGGACATCCCTGTTTTACAGGCTGTTGGCTGTTATGCGCTGTTTGGTACGATGAAGAGTTTGCTTGTCATGTAGTTGATGCTTTCAGTCGAAAACATATTTGATTGCACGTGAACGTGGGCCTTGCAAAGCCAATGGTGATTACAACGCCACATTGCCATTGATCTCGACAGTTATGTCATGCATTCAGGCATGATTAACTGGAGCTGAGCCTGAAAACATATTCGCTGGAAGTCTAATCTGCCGACTCATAACAGGCTTGGTAATGGGAAGAGCATTGGGCGGGCTACGGCTTGCTTATTTATTTACCGAGCAGTTTTAAGGCAAAATATCGCGTGAGACATCCTTTTATGCATTGTAGAGGCCCCGTTACAGGTTAAAAAGTGGAGGTGGCATCGTAATTCTGACGATTTTTTGTACAACGCCATGTGGTTGACAGGAGAGTGATCCTTTTGACGCTGCTCTAAACTGTCGTCACCAGAGGCGTCCTGTATGCTTAGGCGACAGCCAGGAGCGCGTGCATACATGCTGGACTTTCTACTAGCAGACTTATGTGGATTTAAATTGTGTATCCGTGCTGATTTGTGGGCACCCTCGTCACAGCGTGGGCGAGATACTGCAACAATATAGGTACAGTTACCGCTTGCATGTGTTTTAAATCAGCCAAATGGTATTATACACCCTCGTAACGGTCTTCTACACTGTGAAGGATGACAAGTCGTAATCTGAAAACAGGGGCGTCGGAGTAGGTGTTGTTCCGTATTTGGTTGCCATAACCCTGAGCTATGCAACGCTTTACACTATTCCGACTAGTAAGATCACATTCACAAATCACATTGCCTGAGAATTGGGAGGCTGTAGGTCCTGCCAAGCCTTGCAATTTCAGTCAACAAGTCAATGCATGTAAAAAGCTCCCATTTTTGTTGGGTGACTGTTCTTAACACGCACCCATGTAGCCGTTTTGATGCAATGCGCTTGATTGCAGGTCGATTGACCGCCCTGGGATCTCAAAACTAACATTGCTAGAAACAATAAATTCACACGATAGGTATCGCCCCATGTTCAACCATTTGTGCCGCATGTCTGGGTCTCTAGGTCGTGACCTTCGTGGTCCAAAGAAAGTCAAACAATGTCAAACTGTAATGTCCCGATTAAACTGACAAGAAACTGCATATCCCGGTAGCTCAGCCGGATAGTCTCCGTCGGCCAGATGATAGTCCTCTCTTCCGACATATCCATCCCTCTCCCAAGCTCACAACTCGCCCTTGAGAGATAGGACCTGTGACCGGTGGGCAGCGGCTGCACTGAAGGTCAGGTGACGTGAGAGGGCAGGACGGAACGTGCCGTGCATTGCGGCACGTTAACCTTTCGCTACCGAAGTCTGCCGTTGACCTGGAATGGCACGATTGGATGACATGATTCAGGGCTCACACTACAAGCACGCATCAGCGTGAGCTCTATCCCAGAAATCGACATTTGAAAGCCAGAAATCCATTCGAAATGTTCGGATTAAATCGGCAGCAAATCGAAAACCAACAATTTGGGATCGGTGTCTGAAGGGTCCCCAGCCTTGCTCACGCGACCAGCTCTAACCTGGATACTTAACCTAAGGAAAAGGTTAGCTTGGGTTATATCAGATCAGATAATTTATCTTTTCTTTCGATCAAAGTTCAAATTACGCCCCCAAATTTGAGATTAATTTCGATTTTTTATTTAAAACCCTCGTCAAAACCTACCAAGAGCAGCATGTTTCTCAAAGCAAAATGTTGATCAGGGTCATTCTATGTCAATGGCCTTCTCTGACATTCGTGAAGTTTGTTGGCGTCCTTGCGGTTTATGAGTTGCAAATGAGCGTAAAAACCACACCGTAAGGCAAGGTTTCCAGTTACCGTTTTGTTTCGGCCTTGATCTGACCTTCATACCTAACTAACGGTTATGTTATGTTCAGTTATGCAGCGGCATATTTAAAGAGCGCCGTTTTTTCTTGAAAATTTCTGCAATCTGCGAAAAGTGACTAAAAGTATTTTGGTGTCTGGATAGCGTGGCGACCGGCCGGGCCAATCACGTCCAATTTTTACAATCACTGCTCATTAAGACTGGCTTAGCCAACACACCCGCTCGTTATCTTGTTTGAGCTTCAAGAGAGCGTGCCTGGGTAAGGCAATTAATGGTACCAAATGAATTTAGAACCACGGAGTAGGTTATATGCCCCAGCATCTTCAAAAGGAACATGCCCCTCCACCTAACAGTGTGCCGCAGTGTTTTGTATAGCGAGCAAGTTCTGGTGTGCTACAATTGTTGGGTCTCTAGACACCTAATGCATAATGCAATTCACTGACCACCGTTGCTTGTGGGTGCAAAGTGTAGCGTTTATTAAGTTTACTAATTTTCAACCACTGATCACTGTTCGTACTAATCGTTCGTATTCTGTTTTCAGAGTATAGATTGCCAGGAAGTCCAAGGTCACACAGGGGGCCGTCCCCCTGCCCCTGCGCGGCTACAATCCCAGCGACCCGGACAGCTACGCCAGCCTGAACGGAGCGCAGACCAGGTCAGTAGCGTGACGCTGACATGGCTCAGCTCGTGAACAACCTTAGGATGGTCTGGTGCTGCCCAGCTGACATGGCTCAGCTCGCGGATATCTTGTGATGGTCTGGTGCTAACATGGCTCGGCTCGCGGACATCTTAGGATGGGTCTGGTGCTGCCCAGCTGACATGGCTCAGCTCGCGGGACATCTTAGGATGGTCTGGTGCTGCCCAGCTGACATGGCCTCAGCTCGCGGACATCTTAGGATGGTCTGGTGCTGCCCAGCTGACATGGCTCAGCTCGCGGACATCTTAGGATGGTCTGGTGCTGCCCAGCTGACATGGCTCAGCTCGCGGACATCTTAGGATGGTCTGGTGCTGCCCAGCTGACATGGCTCAGCTCGCGGACATCTTAGGATGGTCTGGTGCTGCCCAGCTGACATGGCTCAGCTCGCGGAATCTTATGATGGTCTGGTCTGGTGCTGACATGGCTCGGCTCGCGGACATCTTAGGATGGTCTGGTGCTGCCCAGCTGACATGGCTCAGCTCGCGGACATCTTAGGATGTCTGGTTGCTGACATGGCTCGGCTCGCGGACATCTTAGGATGGTCTGGTGCTGACATGGCTCGGCTCGCGGACATCTTAGGATGGTCTGGTGCTGCCCAGCTGACATGGCTCAGCTCGCGGACATCTTAGGATGGTCTGGTGCTGCCCAGCTGACATGGTCAGCTCGCGGACATCTTAGGATGGTCTGGTGCTGACATGGCTCGGCTCGCGGACATCTTAGGATGGTCTGGTGCTGCCCAGCTGACATGGCTCAGCTCGCGGACATCTTAGGATGGTCTGGTGCTGACATGGCTCGGCTCGCGGACATTAGGATGGTCTGGTGCTGACATGGCTCGGCTCGCGGACATCTTAGGATGGTCTGGTGCTGCCCAGCTGACATGGCTCAGCTCGCGGACATCTTAGGATGGTCTGGTGCTGCCCAGCTGACATGGCTCAGCTCGCGGACATATGATGGTCTGGTGCTGACATGGCTGGCTCGCGGACATCTTAGGATGGTCTGGTGCTGCCCAGCTGACATGGCTCAGCTCGCGGACATCTTAGGATGGTCTGGTGCTGACATGGCTCGGCTCGCGGACATCTTAGGATGGTCTGGTGCTGACATGGCTCAGCTCGCGGACATCTTAGGATGGTCTGGTGCTGACAGTGACATGGCTCAGCTCGCGGACATCTTAGGATGGTCTGGTGCTGCCCAGCTGACATGGCTCAGCTCGCGGACATCTTAGGATGGTCTGGTGCTGCCCAGCTGACATGGCTCAGCTCGCGGACACCTTATGATGGTCTGGTGCTGCCCAGCTCAGGAGGACGTTATGGTCGAGTGGTTATCGGCGTCGGCTGCCACGTGTCGGGACCGGGCTTCAATCCCGGTTGTCATGTGGGGACTGAGCGCTAATGTGGCCGCTGCAGTCGCGAGCGCCCCATGAAGAAGGTCAGCAGATCTTCACCTTTTCCAGCAATTACAGAGGAATCACACGAAAATCGTCGTCGGAAGGCCCAGATATGTAACCAATTGTCATGTGGGATAGCGAGCACAGCAGCGGCCAATTTTGCTACACCGGTAAATCATATTTCATTTACAGAAGCCCGGCTACCTAATTCTGCACCGATTAAACACGCTTATTTATTGGAATGATAGCGGTTGGCAGTAACTGCAGCCATGCATCCTGCCATGGTTATAACTGAGGACTGAGATTCTCGGGACTGGAACATATTCAAATTTTGCGTACCGTCGAATCATCAGAGCGAGGATTCGAACCGTGAACATCAGGATTTGAATCCCCAAACCACACGAACTTCTAGAAACACTGATTCATATATGCTACTTAACATATAACGTACTAACACATGTATTCCGGTCAATGACATAGAACAATTAAAAATGAGTAAAATTCGGTGTCAGACTAAATGGTCGTCCTTTTTAGTACGCTGCATTATAGTTCGATATTTCGATGCAAAGATGGCCTATGGCCTATTTCAGTCTATCTAAATCGCGAATCTCGAATCCATATCTAAATTCGAGTCCACATGGGCTAGGGTTTGAATCGCAAAATGCGGCGGGTCGTCATTTTTAGCAATGATGGCATGGGACACACTGGTATTAGTTTGACAGCCGCTTCCACGAATGTGTTGCCGTTTTCACAATGGCTCGCAACTTTGTTTTCACGGACGCAGCTCCGAGAAGTTGTCTGAATGTTCTGGAACATTGGTAAGTATTTCGGATAATTCTGCGATGATATTCGGAACCTAACATTTTTAGTTCATGTATTTTTTAGTACGGAGAACTCCTAAACAGCACACATACGCTCAGAGCTACCGAAAAAGGTGTAAATATCTGGCTGCCGGCACCGAAACCCGCAAACTTAATGGTCCTAGAACATCACAAACCTCAAGACTTCGTGAAAAAATAGCGCTTTATTAGCGGATAAATAACTGCAAAACATGATTCTTAAGTTTCATCTCGTCGTTGTGAAATCATATGTTCATCACTTATTCTACCTATGTACACTGGAGCATAGTAACTTTGTAACGATCTGGGGTTTGATTTTTGCAGGGAGTCCTTCAGGGGTTTCATATTGCTCCAAGTTGCCATGATTTCCCGCGGGTCCTGTTTATATCTGTTTGTATGAATTATAGCCTGACTGGGACCAGGGCGCACTGGTATAAAGCCGTCCGTATCAGGCCATCCGAGTTTTCATGAAGTCTCAGACCTTTTCATTTATGGTTTTATTAGTCGGTGCGGGCTGTAAACTGTTTCCCGGGATAGCGCAGCCCGGTGAATATTGCTTCATTTGTATCGCGGTTTGATTGCTCGGTTTACGACGGGCGGACGGCCTGCCATAAGGTGCAGATTGCTTCCTTTTCAATTCGAGTATTGTGTCACATACCTTTTAAATGACGTAATCGTGAGGGCGTGGCACCTTTTCTCCGAAGGCTGCAATGTGCGGCATGTCTTTCATGATGCGCACTTACATGTTTTCTCATATAAACACGTACCTACATGTAATCAGCCCGACTGCATATCACGAACCAACATTATCGGTACGTACCTTGGTACCTAGCGAAGCCCGCGCAAAGGGCCGCGCGAGATCATGCGACTAACATTGCGGGTGGTTGAGGGTTGACATACCCAGGCCTAGGGCCCTGTTACCTTGGTGCCGTGAGCTCAATGCAAGTGTGAAGCTGAAACAGACCTCCTCTGCTCGGCATTTGTTGGAGCTGAAAAACTCTGGACTACTTTTGATTTATTGCAGACAAAATAAAGTTAAAAGTTTAGAATAACGTAATTAAGTGGAAACGCGTTTTTAGTTGGCCTGATATCCTTTATTACTCTTGCTACACCGGTTTAGTTCACCAGGACCAGGACGCTATTTACCACCACCCCCAGGACAGTTTTTACCACAATTAGAATCAGGACCCTATTCGCAACCACCGCCAGAACCCTATTCGCCAGGATCCCTCCGTGAATAAGACTGGCTTACGGTTATCACTGACGCCGGCGACTGCCTCACATTACTGGTCCGAACCAAGGTTTGGTCCAAGGTAGCCAAGAATGGTCCGAACCAGGGTACATGAACATGAACAATCACCGTCATGAATCATGGAGGGTTACACCTTTTGCACCAAAATGTCCACTAAAGGGGCTTTCTTTAGGAAATCATCTCTCAGATCGGTGACCAGCACCCTCTCCGCCGTCCTCCCGTGCGCCCACCAGATCGGTGTCTGGGCCACCGCCGGCCGTCGACCCGGCGTCCGCGTTCTGAATGCGTCCCTCATTTAGCCACCGCCTCTTTGGTAGGTGATCAATCACACTTCTTGGACTTAGTTCATTGCGTGGCATAATGGGTTTAAGTTGGGGCCGGCTGGCAATGCCGGTGACGTCATGGCAGCCTGGAATGTCACAGCCTCTGGCCGCACCGGGAAATAAGACGCCCTGAATGAGCTCTGATATAGAAAGAAGCGGTCTGGTTTGAAAGTATTTCCTGGTCGAAAATATTTTTAAACTTAGTGGATGGAAATCCATGGTGCAAGAAAGCTGAATGAGAGAACAACTCTGACCTTCCATACGCGCAGACCGACTGATATCTATATGTCACATTGACCATACTTCCTGTCGGAATGGAAGCTGTTGTCATTGCTGTTAACTAGCTGTCATTGGATCTTAAGCTTTGTCAAGTGAATGAATACTGGCGAATGAGGAGCTACGGGGTGGCGGAAGCACGAATATCTTGATTTGTCCGTGGTCATATGGTGCTGACCTAGCATTGCTGCTATTTACAGCGGGATATCCGTGACAACTGTTGTATGATGGTGCTTGCGAGCTGCGCTCAGTCCGTGCTGCTGCAGGCATCCGACACCTGATCAGCTCCGTTTGTCTTGCTCGTCGCAGCGATGACATCCCGTTTGGCAATGCCACGCGCCGGATCCGCCTGTCCAGCAATTATATGAACCTGATACTTTGCTTCGCCTGATACCTGAGGTGCACATCAAATTATCGTGTGCGCTGTGTAGTAAGAACGTTGACACACACACACCACACACACACACACACACACACACACACACACACACACACACACACACACACACACACACACCCACACACACACACACACACACACCCACACCACACACACCCACACACACACCCACAACCCACACCCACACCCACCCACCCACCCACCCACACCCACCACACACACACACACACACACACACACACACCAACTTTCTTTTCTCTCTCTCTCTCCCTCTCTCTTTCTCTCTCTCCCCCCTCTCTCTCTCTCTCTCTTTCTCTCCCTTGTGTTTTGCTTGCTGGATCTTATTTCTAGCATCCAGCTTGCTGGCAGCCTGAGCCGAACAAAAACGGCGAAAATGAGCTGCGGCTTGGCACGTTTTCAGACCAGCAAATGCAATCATCGCCACCATTGACGTAAATTGCTCTGATATTATCCTTGTTACGACAGCATTGCCGCGTTTTCTAAGGCTGGACGCGTTAAGGATGCTGGCGCTGCATCAGTCTTACGCCACATAAATCGCGCACCCACTCCGAATGCAAATATAAAATGGGATGCTCCGCGCTCTAGCTGAAATCGGAACACACAAATGGCTGTCGCGTGACGCGTTGTAGTCTGCCGGCTTCCGGACGGACATTTTAGTTAGGATTCCAAGGATCAGACCATAGAAAATGTGTCCGGGGTTTCTTTAGCCTAGTGAGAAACTATTTTTCAAAAGTGTTTTCGCCTCCAGGGAATATTTAATGACGGAAATGTTAGCAGTGTTGCACCCTCCTGTACCATTAAACCCACCGCTACGGGTGTGACAGAGGGTGCATCCATCATGCTGAAAGTCCCTCTTTTCTTCCATCGACTTCATGACTGAAACCAAACGGTCACATAAATACTACGGCTGAAAAGGACAAATGCATAACAAAACTAAAGATGTCTTGTGCACCTTGAGGAAATGACCTAACTTCTCAGAGGCATAACTCGTATTTCTCCGATGAGGTCAAACCACCACTTCGTAATATATTAGCCGTTGTCATGTGCGATGTTTTGCTTAGGTACAAAGTTCATCGTTGCCTCCCAAATAGCCCACTGAATGGTCCGACGTGATTTAATTATATCAATTTTAAAGGTTTCCCATAGATTTGATTGAGCGCCATTCCCAGAACACATGGTAGACACATGGCTGCCGTAATGTCTCGTGATGATGGAAAGGCACCATCTTAGCCACGAGCGCGCATGTCCTGTCTCCAGTCCGAGTAAAGACGTGCCCATGCAGAGCTGGATGTTCTTTTTGACCCCCCCCCCCCCCATACACACACATTCCCCACTTTCACTCCACCCAAGGGCACGTCGGACGCCGGTGACCGACGCCCGCCTGAGCACCCCTCCCCCTCCCCTTTCTGTCGGACGCCGGTGACCGAGGCCGGCTTGAGCCCCGGTGTTGTGTTGAACCTCCCCCCCTCGCCCACAGGCTGGTGATGGACGGGCAGAAGGGCGGCGCCAGTGACACCGTCATGCCGCTCGTCATGCCCGTTTACCCGGTGCGCAACAACCTGTGCACCACGTGGCGCCGCCGGCCTACTCGCCCGAGCGCAACCAGCTGAAGGAGGAGTGCCGCTACCGCTGCAGCTGGCGGCTGGCCACCGGCTGCCTGGCGCTGCTCTGTCTCCTCCTGCTGGCGCTCATGGCCTACTTCGCAGGTACGGCACCCATCATCGGCCCACGGGCGTGTTTTTGCGATAGGGCGTAAATCGCCTGCGGCTGAAATGAAGCGAATGTGGTGACAACTTGAAAGGTGGTCTTCGTGAGATCGGTCGACCCTAAAGTAGTATGTCTTAAAGCGCGCAGTAACGACGTGGAAACGAAGTCGTAGTTCATGAAGTTTCGAAAAGTTAAAAAGGCACCAGCAAGCTTAAAATGACTCATCTTTATCCCCGCAAGTCAGATTTCGAGACCCAATGCGCATGATCGCTTTTCGAAGCGTCCGCCACCTGGGAGCTTAATCGTTTCTTGCATGTTCTGGCTGCGTGGCAAATGTATCTATGCATGTTACGTTCCATGCTACAGTTCAACCATGAGCAAATACCAATCCCGGTGTTTGGATCAAATTTGGATCGAATCAAAGACCGAGGGGTAGGTCATGTCATTTCCCCACAACGTCGTTTTGTACATGCATTGCGTGTTAAGAGCACTAAAGCTGTTAGCGTTTACAATCCTTTACATTCATTATCTACCTCATAACTACTATGACGAATGCATGGAGGACGCGCAGCCAACACTTCTCAGATTTTTGACTACCCTACGCTACGTTCCTTGTAATAAAAAGGCTCCGAATGAGCCGGGCTGCACTTCGGACTGGTATAATGATATGCGCCACACCGTTCAGCGATGTGCATTGCGCGGGTGTATGTTTGTGTGACATAGAATTGAAGTGTCTGGGCTCATGCAACACAGCTGCCTCCCAAGCAGTTCCCGACAGAAAGTAATTTATCGTGAAGGAGGTGCTTCAGACGAAATACGTCCGCTCTGAGAAAGCGCTTCGGCGTCATTCCCGAACTTCGCTAATTATTGCCGGTGTAATCTCAGCGGAACACTTGGTCCCTATAGCCGTTTAATTTGGTAGTCGGCGGCGCGGGGAGCGAGCATTGGCTGGCGCCGGCTCCGGAGACCGGTGACGCCGGCTCCGGGGACCGGTAAGAGTCCTTCAGGCTCGGCTCCGGTTCCGTCTTCAAACACGGTCGGCGTGAGCTATTGAGCAGAGCCGCCTGCCGTGTAAACAACCCTCCGCCCTCCCTCCTCCCTCTCTGCGCACGGTCCGCCATTAACTGGCTCGCTCCGACAGATGTACGGGGATGGGCGACTTAAGCATGGGGCTGCTCGCATGGCTTGTGTACCAATGGACCGACGGGACTTCCAGCATTGCCTTGGCGGATTATTTGCCAAATTCGGGTATGTTTTTCCGTGAACGAATTGAGGAAGCCAAAGCCTCATCCGATTGTGTTAGATCGCAGACGTTATGTGTCTTTCTTAGGTGAGTATTGTTAGCCGCGATATCCTGGATAGTCGCGATACTTCAGATATACCAAGCTGATGTCCTTCTTGCATCGGCCTGCGACGTCCAAAAAGCTGATCATTCAGAACATCTTTGTGTTATGTCATGAACATTTAAAAACAAAACAAAGATAGCCCTGACCAAACTCATAATGTTTGACTTCTCGACATCTCACTCGAACTACAGCCTTCAGGTTAAGTAATTATCATGTTTCACGATGTTTGGCCTATTATGTGGCACGGCCATTGAGCCTGCGACTTTTCGTGAGGTAAACGCATCCTTCTACTAGCTCCTTCGTTCAGATCTGAATCACCTGCGCTGCAAGGAAATCACATTAGACAACCTGCAACGTAGGGTATATAATAGATGCGATCTTAAGTGCGTATTTGCTGGCTGACCGTCGCCGGAAAAAGAGCATGGGTTGAGGCCATTTGTAACAGACTAGGTACACATGGGGCGCCGCATCGGAAGTGAGTGGACATTTTGCACGTGATACTAATGTAGAGAACATTGACAAAGCAAACCAAAACACACGAGTCAAAGTGGCTTCTGCCATACCTTGTTTTTCTTTCTCTCAGTACACTGTCACCATGTAAAGTGGTTTGGATCAGATCGAACGGGAACGGATCGATCAAGGACATTTCGAGGCGTTCAAGATCAAGAATGCGTCCGGAATCTTGAGGAATTCGCTTAAAAGTCACCAAGCCGGCATCCGCAGGACTTGCAAAGTTTTGCCTGATAGGCTGCTTTTCATGAGCAATTTTTGTGCAGCGGAAGGGTGCATGAGCCTGCGCGGCTCCGAAAAAGGACACTCTTTGGCAGGAGACACCGTCATTTTTCGTCAACAAGGTCGAAATCAAGATGTGGATAATTTAAAGCGCCGACTGCGAAGTCATTACATTGCGCTCGTACGAGGCGAAGATTAAATGGCGTCTTCGGTTTCCAAGCCAGGTTACAAATTGTGTGGGTATCAATATCTTAGGGATAGATGTGAATATTGAAAATTATGTCTCCAGTAGTTAAAAGTCAGATTCCCTCACGTCCTTTTCTTGTATTTTGAGCCACACTCGGAAGCAGTATGCTTACACGTGGAAACAAAGCGCAATAATATGTCTCTACCCTGCTCAATAATTGGCTGACAGACATTTTTGCAGTCATAGCAGAGGTTTTGCTGCCTCTCGTCACTAGTCTGGCATAAAAGATGCTTGCCTGCAGTCTGGTAAATTATCACACATACTGTTGCAAGGTACCTGACAACTATCGACTCACCATCCGATACCCAACGCCACAAGTAACCTAGCGTCCCCGTGTAGCCCTAAATTAAGAACACTGGTACAACAGCTATGAAAGAACACTTTTCGCCGACCTTTGTATGTTTGCAAACGGCTGAGATGATGTAAAGCAACGGTTTGCTGTAAGTCAATTTATCAGCAGATCACCGTCTCAAGGCTCGTAAAAATGTGTATTTGTGTCAGTCTTGTGACATGTAACGCATCAAGGGAGCTGTTACTTCTTTACAAGCTGCAGTTACACCGAACGTCTGTCAATATACCATTATTAGCTGCTGATGTCTGTTATTACATCGCTGTCTGGGTATCCTATCATCGTTGCACGTGCTGGCAGAAACCGACAAGCGACTATTGATATTCCATATAGCCATTTACCCTACACAAACAGCCAGACAGAAGCTGATCGTGGCTTTTGCGTCGCGGGCTGAGGAATGGGTCAGATGTGCCGTCTGTTGACATTGCTGAGCGCGCTCAAATAGTTGCCATGGCAACAGGTTGCCAGGGGCGCAGTCAGGGCCGTGATAAGGGAGAGGATGCAGAGCTTGGCAGGGAGTTCCTGGCGAAAAGCCCTCCAGCGAAGAAAAACATCGCCGGTTTAGCCTACTTGTTATTTCGAGAGCACCCGATTTCCTCGTTTTTTCTCTTGCCCGGTCATGCCAACAGGCGCGGGCATTGAGGGGCCCGTGGATTAAGCACTCGGGAGGCCCCTTACTCCACTGCGGGCAGGAGCCACGTGGGCAGAGCATTAGATGGCTCGTCGCCTTCCTCGGTCAGGGTCAGAGTCAGGGGCCATTCCGTCCCAGCTCGGAGGCCTACCGGCTACCATTCTGGCAACACGGGGCCGGGGCCCATTGGTCGATCCGGAGGCCCTCAGGGAGGGGGGGGGGGGGGCGTCAGACACCGGTCCCTGACTCAGAAGCGCCCTCTGACCAAAGCCGTTGACCCCATATCAGCGCAGTGCACTACTGCAGCCAGGGTGCAAAAGTGGCGATGCTTTTGCCTTTAGTGGTGTTCTTATAGTTGAAAAAAGTTCCAATGCAAAGTTCCTCCTGATTGTAGAAAAGCAAGATTGTGAGCATAATAGCGAGTTGAATCCTTCAGTGCTATGCGGCATAGTGTGTAAAATTTGCCGCCGGTTTGAGCGGAAGTTACAGAGAACATCAGATGTTTCAGCCCCTTGACGCGCCGGACTGTGTCGAGCGCGTCGCAACCACAGCCTCGACTGAATGAGTGTTCCTCTAAAGCGTCTGCAGATGTTCTTGATTCGTCTAGAATTGCTGAATCAAGTTCCTGCCTTTATCTTCAACACGCAGGATGTCAGCCCTTCAAGAGCTCGGTGCTGGGGACTGAGGAATTGTGGCGTTCGGCCGGGCAAACGGCAAGCTGCATGCGTGCGTGCGTGCGTGTTTGCGTGCGTGTATGCGTGCGTGTGACTGACAGAGCTGTCTCTGACGATTAAGGAGTCTGTTCAGTCTGTAGACAACTCAATACTGGAAATGCTGTACGAGCGTCCAATGGGAGCTCACCGTAGCTGTTTGATCTTCAAGGCTCAGTCAAAATAACCACACTGAGGCATTCTTGCTGCTGGCAATCTTGTGCTGCTCTAGGCTTAGAAGAAAATGAGGTCCGCGTGCAGCCCTTTTCTGTATTCTGTCCCGGATCTCCGCATGTTTAAGTCGCGCGGAGCAGGGTCGCGTCACCGATCTGATGACACAGTGACCTCTCCTCCGACTCCACCCACACGGGCCTCTCGAGCCTTGTCTGCCCATGGCTGACTTCAGCCGGATGTACCACACCGACTGAACCGATGTCAGATGATGACAGTTTCCGCTCAGTTCAGTTTTGGCAGAGACCTTCGGTGGATGGTAGAATGTCACGGACGACGGCTGGCTGAACGTTTGGTCCGACGGCCATATCGCTGAGTCCATCACACCCCACGGAGACGCATTGCTCAAAACGCGTTAAGTGCGTGGGGGTATAACTATTTTTAGAGTTGAACAAATAAATGTATTCCCAATGATTTGCATTGGTGACTGCGTTCAGGGTACATGGGACAAGAAGAAATAAGAAGGGACAAGAAGAAACAAGAAGGGACAAGAAGAAACAAGAAGGGACAAGAAGAAACATGGCCTGTTGCGAACAGGATGAACGCGATAACCAAGCTGTGCCATCCAGTTTGACGGATAGTGGAACATCTCCCTTTTCACCAGGCAGCTGTGGAGAGAACCCGGGAACTTGATTGACCCTCATAGTTGACAGCTGAAATTTTCTTCCATATTAACCGGAATCCTTTTCACGCCGATGATTCCTTAGAGGTGGCGGAGTGGCGTTGACGGCGGTAATTGGAACAGACGGATACGGCTGACACAAGCTAGTCTTTCTTTTTCAAGAGCTAATTGTCTGCATGAGATGAGCACTCCAGGTACTGCAAGCACCCTTCCCACGCGGCCCTTCGTTTCAGATCAAAGTGACCTAAGGTTGGGAGCAAGGATGCTCTCACACGACCTTGCTTTCCATGCAGCGGCACATTCGTTATGTTAAATATCGGAAATGTCGGGGAAATGTGTCCCTGGCGTCCTCCGTGCTAACGGAGGTCATGCACTGCTGGAGCTCGTCGTTCGCCTGCAGCGTCTATATACGGTTTCAGCGACCGGTGGCAGTGCCGGCAGCGCGGAGCGGTCCCAGTGCGTCTACGTCGAGGACGCGGTGGTGATGGCCCCGGACAGCACGAGACATGTGGAAGCCAGCACCCTCCCAGGTCAGTCCCAGAGGCCGGCGACCCCAGCAGGTCACCGGAAATGCAACGAGGGGTTTAGGGGGTTATATACCGCGCGCGGGGTTGCCCGCGTTGGTGGTTGCGAGCAGAAGGATACTGATCATGGACTTTGTCATAGTTGTGGTTTTCATACGTTACCATACTCGTCGCGAAATTGCACGCAGTTGGCTCGCTGGTCATATAATCTGATACCAGCAGTTTACTTGTTATCAGTATTAAGGCAACCCGATGTTCCTGCCGCCCTGTAGCGAATAAGCCTCTTGTCTACGTCTTCACTTTCATCCCATTGCATTTTAATAGTTTGCCGAAAATGCTTGCAAAGCACATCATCATATTTGTCACACAATTCTACGTAATCGGCTCGCCGGTCATATACATCTTCCGCTAACGACTTTTCCATTTTCGTACGAGTATTTTGATGCTCCAGTCGCTCCTCAGCATTACGTTCGGAGTCTAGCCGCGCACCATGCCTTGAAGTCTCGACACCAGTAACGTCACGCTAACTTAGGGCGAAAACGAAGCGAGAATGACGGGACGGTTTAATCTATCTTATACGGCCTAGTTCGCGGGTACAAGCACTGGTTTGTGGACCGCGCTAAAGTTCGCGGTCGAATCCCCCTCTAAGTCTCGACAGGGGTCAGTCTGTTCATTCGGACGTACTGGTAGTGGTGAGACGGCCCTACCAACACAGCCTTCGAAGAGAACTGTGGCAGCTGCTCATCAGAAGTCCCTGGCCGAACGCGCCGTTTCCTGTGCGAGCAAAAGAGAAAGCCGCCAGAGCAGGCCGATTGGCTGTCGGAGGAGATGCAATTGTACGCTCCGAGCCAACTGCCGGAAAGGATTGGCGTGCGGCGGAGCCACGACAGCGCCGGCGCCGCCTCCGTGGTCTTCGGACTCACAGGGAGACGCGGCGCGCTGTGGGTTACAAATATATGCAGCAGAGTTGAAACAACAGTCCCTATCCCTAACAGCAAGTGGATCACTTTGTGCCAGGGTGCATATGCAATTTTTAACATGCCATAGTGTGCAACGCGCTATGGGTCGGTAGGTTTCGTCGTTCCCGTCATTGAGCCTCACATTCCTGGCACGGGACATTGTCGCGGTTTTGACATTCACTTTTGCAAGCACGCAATCCGGCAGTTAACGAAGATTTGCTAGGGAAGCAGCGCACTCGTGGGTTGGGGTGGCGCCAGGCTTCCCATGCAGAGCTGGTGGACGCTACCGACAGCATGGTGAAGCCCTGACCGTCCTGACCCGGGCAGCCTGTCCTGATTGGCGTGATGGTTCTGTGATACCTCATGCCATACACATATTCATGGATCGGGTGGTCAAATCTGGAAAGGGCGAGTCCAGATAAGTTGAAATGGTTTTTCTCCAGAAAAAAAACAAGATCGAAGAGGAAACCCATCCACCTGTAGAGCGAACATGTATCTGCTGACCTGGCGTGATCCTTCACATTGCTAAGTTATCGATTCACAAAAGACTGGCCTCAAAATGGGACTAAGGTCAAACTACCCCGTGCCGGGCCTCCGAAGCCAGGTGGCGAGGGCGTACCCCAGACGCGGCGTGCGTATGTGTAGAGGGGGGAGGGGCGGGGGGGGGGGTTGGCCGACACAGCGCGGTCCCAGAGGCGTGATGCCTCTCGTCCTATAGCGCCCTGGGGAGCCATCAGACACTCGGATAGAGCCCAAGGGCAGGCGACGGTCGGCAACGTCCGGGTAACCAGGTGTGCCGCGATGCAGCACGTAGATAGCGGGAACACTGGTGCGATGCTGGATAATGCACTCTGGAAATCCAGTTGAGAGCGTTTTGTTGCTAACAGCGGTATCTATGTTCGTCAGTGGTGCTCTATGGGAAGACACCGTAATCTTGTCTGCTACATCATCTTCAAAACTCTCCGGCTCATCGAGCAATGGTAATCCACTCCATCAAGCGATAGGCCGGCGCCTGGTGTTCTGGGATGAATTGACACCATTCGAAGTGACCCCGGTCATCCCTGACCCGTGTCTGGGTAAGCCATCCCACGCCCACCCCAGCCCGGCCGCCTCAAGTCGCCGCGGGGTGTCCCCCGCCCCGCCTTACCTCCCTATCTCGAACGGTGAGATGCCGCGCCATTTCCGCGGTTCGCGCGTAATTTCCGCCCGCGGCGCGCGTTATTTCCCGGCCGTCGACGCGCGCGTCGTCCTCCGGCGCCGGAAGCTGCCGGCTTTGTTGCCGCCGCGGCTGAACAGCGCTCGGGTGGCGGCGCGCCGCCGCCTTCATGCTGGCCGGCCGATCGAGTGAGGACGGGCTCGGGTCCTGAGTGGAGTTCACCCTGGAACGATGGGCGGGGTGGTGCGCAGGACGGCAAAGCGCCGTGCAGCATATACTCGTGGAGACACACCGCCGCGGCGGCTCTCCGGGCGCGCTACGGCACGTGAGAGACGTTAGCGCACGGCGCGTGCCGTGAAGTGACCATTAGTTTCGTGCTATTCATGGGAAGAGGTACCCGTGTCCATCTTGCGTCGTGTCTTATAGCCAGCTGTAGTCCATTATGCGTCAACACATTGTCGCGTGACTTCCTGTAGGGTGGTGTTCGTTTCCTAAATGCACCAGCCTCGTTCGGCTCGGCCGGGGACCAGTCGTTAACTGGGCGAGTGTCAGACGTCGACCAAGGCTGAAACAAACCGTGCGCATCGAACCGACGCCGCGTGGGCACATCTCCCACCGATGCTCTGTTAGCTCGCGGAAGACGGTCGTTTCCGCTGAGGCGCTGAAGCAGCGAAAACAATATATTCTTGAGTGTTATATCATGCATGATTCACTTCGATATGAAATGTCGACAACTCAAAAGGAGTGTTTCCACCTTGTAAGGCGTTTATAAATAAGATGACTAGATTGTAGCCCAGAATGATCTGTATAGTGACGTTCTTACCAAGACTTATCAAAAGACTATCTCCATACAGTGCGTGCAGTTAGCTTTCGGCCCATTTGACTTAAGACTTATTTGTAAAATGCTCTCATCAGCGATGATGATGCACAAAACGGCCACGTGCGTAATCACTATCATCGTATTATGCATCATTAATGGCCATCATGGACTAAGCGAAATGCCTGGGGGCGTGATGGCCGAGTGGTTAGCGCGTCGTAATTCCACATGGTCCATTGAAGAATAAATATTTCTTATAAGCGTAATGCAGAGCATAAGCTCACGATTTGTGTGTACACCATCATTGCCAAAGCGCATAGCGTTACGGAGAGAAACATGGCGTAGTTGTTTTTTTTCGGGAATACCTTACGATTTAAGTGTTTTTGAATTTCATCGATGCTCCAAATTTCAACATTAAAGCATTAGTGCTGCATTCGTTGTTATTCACCTGCACTAACATTCACACCTCAAAGTAAGTCGCATGCAACGCTTAGCCAATTCACTCCACACTTCGCTCTTGGTGCAAGGCGCCCCAAACACCTCGATTTGACCCACAGTCTTGATGACACGTCGGCCTGTCACGTACGCCAACTTAAACTTCACGGTGTACTCCTAGTCTTCCGGGCTTCCTTTCATGAAGGCGCCCACTTAAACCATGATAAATCGCTCCCCTAACCCTCTTCACAAACTATCCTTAAAACATGATTAAAACATTAAAACAAATGCCCGTAGAACCTAAAAGACGCCGACTGCCTAGGAAGCGCATCTTCACGAGACATGTGGGTCGAAGTGTGGAATCACTTGGGGTTATCTGTACTTGATGGTGACAGACACTGAGAGTGCTGCCAGGGAACTCCGATCACAGATAGCCTCTTTCCGATTTCCCCAAAGTTAAAACATCCCTTTGAAGACAAATTCGTATAATAACACGCATGTGGATCCAGAGTGCATTCTTGTGGTTACTTTAACCGCGTTTCGTGGGACTGACATCGCACATCACCTACATCAAACATCTATAATGCGCACAGTGAGCATGCTTTGACGCTGCTTGGACTCGTCAAACAGACGAGTCCAACAGGTGGTCCCTGGCGGCCTGCTCGTGCACAATAGCGCCTCAACACCACCGCCCGCGTAAAAAGTGCCGCCGAGCGGCGGTGAACACGCCGCCGTGTTTTGTTTGGCGCCGGGGGCGGGTCTCGCGCCGACAGCCGGGTGGCTCGGGGCGCCGCCGCCGCCAGCTGCAGCGGGGGACGTCACCAGCAGCCGTGCCAGCTTAGCAGCATTGTCCGCCGCCGGTCGCACGCGCCCCGGCCGTAAATTAGCCGCCGCGAGTCTCGTCCGGCGCCCGGAATAGTCGCCCGGCCGCGCCGTCCGTCGGCGGCTGCAATGGCCGCCGGCCGCTACCACTCCCCTTTGTCTTCCGGCCGTCGCAGAATTAGACAGCGGAAGACGTGTGCGTGCGCGCCTGCGCCTGTACGTCACGAGAGAGCGAGAGTGTGCCGAGTGGGCCGGGATGGGGTGCTCGGATGCCGCCGCCTGTTGTTGGCACGATGGTTAAGTGGATATTTGAGTGGATGTGTGGTTGGATCACGCAGTGCGCCAGGTGCGGCACTGGATCTGGTAGCTACATTTTGGGAGTCAGACAAGCCCAGGGCCCGAGGATGACGTGGAATCATCACAAAAATAGGCGCAAGCATTTCGTAAAAATGGGTTTGTCACAGAGAGATCAATTCTTGCGAATAATTGGAGGGCCGAGCCGGACACGTCATTCCCAAAAGATATGTTTCTCATCCGATCAAGCCCACTTTGTTTTCACGAACGATGAGACTTTAATTGTACTTCCTCTGAACTGGCCATTTATTTCCGCAGCTAGTGGTCATGATCACCAAACAACGCCAAAAGGGAACAGCCACTGTTGTGATATTGATCTTTTTCATGATTTTGTACTATTGTAGCCAAAAATATTGAGATGGGGCAAGCCAACATGGGGGAGAAAAACAACATTTGAGGGAAGAGTGTGGGTGGAGGGCGGGGAGGGGGTAGTGCTCCCACAAAAAATGCGAACCGACACCACTGTTTTATCATGTGCTAGGGGGTTCATGATAAACTTTCACAACGTTGGTAAGGTAGGTGGTTCATGTCCAAAAGCGGAGGTCAGACGGTTCATGTCCAACACCGCCACCGCCGTTCCCACGCCGAAGTGGGGTCCGCTCGCTTACTTACTGCCCCCGGCTGTATGCAAGGCACCAATAACCATTTCAGCCTTCAGGGTCTTCTCGACTTCCTACAAGGTCGATGCCGCAGCGACCTCTGAGACGAGGACGCGACAATGTTGGAGACGACGCCGCTTAGGCCACGCCTCTGAAGACTGCATCGGCCGCTGGGAGGAGGGGGGGGGGGGGGGGGGGGGGGGGTTGGACGAGGCCGCACAGCCGACGGCTGATGCTCTGACGACCGATGTACTGTCAGCAGATGGGATATATGATGGAACTTGGCCCGCCCCTCCATGGAGTGGTTCCGCAAGGCTCGACGATAGTTGCTTGCCCGCAGCACAACAGCACTCACCTCTGAGCAGGTGCACGGTCGGCCGCATTAAGCAAGTCGAGTACGGCTCGAAATGTTAAACCGTGCGCACGTATTTCGACAACATTAAACAGCGACGCCCATAACTCGGAAAATTGAAATGTTCGTCTGCAACATGGCAACATTTCAGGCCGCGTGCAGTTTGCTAGCCTTTATTACCTGTGTGCAACGCAACACAGAACATACCGTGTCCTTGCAAACACTGACTTCTGCAGGATATTGCTTTTAGAAGAGACAGGCCAGACCAGTCTACCGGTTTCGTACCGGTCGAGATTTACTGGCCATTCGTGCTGGGACTCCCAACGCGAACACAAACACGCTTGTCTCGATTTCTTCCCTCGACTTTTCTCGATCACTTGCACCAGTCCAATTCTCGAGAAAACCAGTCGCGAGCTCACGACCTGAAATTCCTCCACCCCCCCCCCCCCCTACCGTGACCTTCCCTCTCACTGACTCTAATCCCCGGCAGCGGCGCGCCACTCCGTCTCGACGGCGGGCAGGCGGGCGCGGTGGGGGTGGGTGGGAGGGGTCTGACCCGCCCTCAGGCGGCGTGACGGAGCGGCGGCCCGTCCGGCTCCGGCCGGCGCCCCGGCCGTCCGGCCGTCGGCGATCCGTCTTGGTCACCCGCCGCCGCCCGATTAGCCCCGTATGGCTTGATTCCCGGCGGTGGCGCGCCGCCGCCGGGCTCTCCGAGACGGCTCTACCGACGCCATCGACCGGCTCAGTGCATTTCGATGCACCAGCTGCCTCGAGTCCGAGGCCCGGCGGTATATCATGCAAATGGGGCCGGCCCGAACGCTGGGACGTTACCGCCGGCTTTGGCCGGCCGCCGCGGCTGCTGCCCGCTCAGAATGACGCGCACAGCCCGGGTTCCGCGGAGTCCTGAGGCCGGCGTTACGGCCTCCCGTGCCGACTCTATTGCATGCCGGTGCTGGCGTTTGTTTCCCAGAAGCTGGCAGCGTGGAAGGTTTGGTTATGAGTCCCGGTACGTTGCATGCATCAGTTACGACCCACTCGCTGAAGACTACTGTATTTTGGGCAATAAAAGGGTTTATGACGCCCCTTTGCTGTCATCGTCAGAAGTTCGTTCTTGCCTTTCCCCTTGCATGCAACGTTTTACTTTTCCGAAATGACCAATCCATTTTGATTGCCCTCACCCGTGGTCGAAGGACTTGACCTGCTCCAGCGTTGGGCGGACTAAAACTGCCTGTACACTGCCCGGTTGAAACGGGCTATTGCCAGGGTGCACGTATACACAACTCATATATCTTGCCACCAAACCAATTTTTTAAAAGGTCTAATTTAGTGTTGGATATTGGTCTGTATGCCGTGTAGAGCGACAAGTAGCTCAAATCAGATCAGAGGGATCCGCAAACGCTTCGACCACAAGCCCCTTTCCTTGCTGACATCACTGGAGGGACGTTAGGCCGAAACGTCCGCTGACCCCCTGTCCCCATTGCAACTGTCTATCACTCTATACTTTATGCAGGTCAACCACCACCATGGAGACCTTGAAGAAGGTCGTACACCAGCATCCAGCAAGCTCTTCGAAACCCTAACAATCACAACCCTTACTTGCCCATTTGTTTACGGCTTGACAGCGTGTTCTTTGGACATGATCGGCGCTCTTCACTCCTCACCCGCAGCGGGTCCGCGGGAGTCCGAAGCCGAGCTCTGACAGCGTCGTTCCGTTGCAGCCGACCCAGCCCGTCCGCCGCCTCCTGGGGCAGCGGCCCCTCCGCCTCGCACGCCGCCGCCGCCGCCGCCCCCCGCCAGTCTGACCCTGGGCGCGCCCGTGGCGCACCGGGTGGCGCCGCGCGAGCTGTGGACCCTCGAGCACGACACCATCCAGCCGCAGGTAGGCCGGCACGTGACCCGGCGCTCGCCGCGTGCCCCCGAGCCATTCATTAAGCGCGTTTAAATGGCGCACCGCCCACCGCCGTCAGGGGCGGAGGGCGGAAGCACGGCGGCCCGGCGACGGCCGCTCGGTCGGCGAGCAGCGCGGTCCAGGGACGCTGGCGGCGCCGCAGGACGCCTGGCTGGTCTTCAGTCACCCGGCCGCGCGCTCCCTCCGTCTGCGGTCCGCTGGTCGTCCAGACCGAGGGCTGAGGGGCCTGGCCCTGAGTCAGTGTCGATGACGGTGTCTGCAGTCAGCGAGGAACGACAGCGTCGTCAGTCGGGTCAGGCGTCTCGGCCCCGCTCGGCCGCGCGCATGGCTCTCCGTCGACTGCCGAGTCTGGGTGACCGGCGCCTCCGTCCTCCGGTCGTGCCTGGCGGGCGTCAGTCCTCGCACCTCCGGCGTCCATATGGCGCTCGGTCCCGCCTGGTTGGACCGCCAATTAATGGCCGGGTCGGGTCAGCGGCAAAAACGCCCCTCGTCACGGCACGCTCGGAAGCGACTTCGCGGCACGTCTGCGAACAATTGGAGTGCCAAGGCACTGGAAAGTACTCTCAAGTGTTGCGTGGGGACGTTTCACTGCGTTGGCATTCCCAGGCCCGCGTCAAATGCCGAGTTGTAGGATTGCACGCACATAACGACTCAGAGTCACGGCAGGCACGCGCGGCCTGCGTTGACTTCGCAACTGTCTGCACTGCATGCGAGTTGCTGCCATCACTTGGGTGCCTTCCCCGCTGGTGTTCGTGGCAGTTTTATCACTGTCTTTGAATGGGTTTGAAAAATGTTACCATGCTTTACAAATGACTCACTGCGTGCAGCTGTTGAAATTTGTGGAGCATCATGACTTGCTGCAAACACTTGACTTTCATTGAAAAAGTTTAATTACCATTGTTGTGTCATGCTTAGGATGGGAGTCATATGAGTGGATGCCCAATCATCTTGCCATACCGATAACGTCAGCCTCGTGTCGTGCGTTGGTCCGGGGCAGCATCTGGCTCAACCGGATACCGCACCGGCTCATGGAACAGCGCGATAAGGTTATCCAAGACCTGCATGCCTCAGAACAGGCGCTCCCACCCGTTGTGCGGACTGCGCGCCTCCTCCACTCTGTGCACTGTCCGGCCGCTGGTTCGTTGTGACCCCCGCCTCTGCCCCCTCCGGTGCCTGCTGACCCGGGCCTCTGCCCCGCCGCCGGCCGACCCGCTGACCCCGCCCCGCGTCCGGCAGCTGGTGAACCTGAACCTGACGGCGCCGTGGTCGGCCAGCCTGGCGGTGTACGGCAGCCGGAACGTACCGCCGAGCGTGACGCAGCACGAGTTCGCGGCGTTCGTGCGGGGCGGCCGGGTGCAGCGCGGCCCGCGCGGCCTGGCGCGCTCTGTGCGCTCCCTGCCTGAGCACCCGGTCAACGTGACCGTGACCGAGTACCTGGAGCCCGGCCACTGGTACCTGGCCGTGCTGAACGACGACCCGGCGCCGGCCGAGGTGCGGCTGGTGCTGGCGGCCGGCGACGTGGCCACGCTCCGCTGCCCGGCCGACTGCTCCGGCCACGGCACCTGCCACCTGGGCGTCTGCGCGTGCGGCCCCGAGTACAGCGGCGACGACTGCGCCACCAGTGAGTACGACGCCGGCGGGGGCACGCGCAGCGTCATGGGGCTCGTTGCGACCAACCTGTGTTGTCTCGGGCTGAAAAGTAGGGTAAGGCCCTGGTGGGAATCGGGAGAAATTATTCAAAAACACAGCCCAGCTCGTGGGTGTTGGCACACTTTTCGTGAAGGGGTGGCTTTCGCACCAGTGCAGGGCGGTCTTCACCATTTGCTGAGGTCTTGGCTTCCTGCCTGTGACGTGAAAAGGTCACCGGTGAACGGTGTAAGAGTGAACCGCACAGATGGAAGGCTCTAAAACTGAGCTGTTCGAGTTAGTTGTAACCCTGGGAGCGTCCTTGCCCTCAACGTCCTGGCCAGCTGCGGCAGAGATAAATCTCGGTCACATTACGAAGTCCTGGAAACTTGTTTGATGCGTAGAACATGTCTTCCGAGAACCAGCGCCAGCTGCGGAAATGTTTCAGTGATGTTTCTATTGGTGTAGGAGTGGTTCTGTCACAATCCCATTTTATTTAGATATATTACCCATCATCGGCTCGTATTGTTGTCGTATTGTTGCATATTTGTATCAGCCATGTGCACGGATGTGTGCGGCACTGGAGGTTTCTCTAAGCTTTCACTCCAAACACCTGGTTTGCTCTTTGCATGACAATCTGTTGACTCCGGGGACTTCGTATTGGGCAATAATATGTCGGCGCAGGTGACCCAGCGAGGGTTAATGTCGGACATGGAGATTAATTCCCTCCTCATGCAAGCCGTACGTATACATGATCCATGTATGGATCCAGTGCTCCGAGCAATGGACACAGCGAAGGGCTTCCGGTCCACTGTGGACGCCAACAGTGAACATGTAAACACCACTGGGGGCACGCCTAGGGCATAAGGCGCTCCTTTGCGTGACATTCTTTATAGCCACTAATCCAGCCCTACTGTGGCGTAATGTATGACACTCATTAGCTTAAAAGCCCCACTGCTTGGCCCGGACGTCGCTCCGCCAGTGGACTGCAAAAACACGCTTTGTGTTTCGCCAGCCACACCGCAGGACGCTTCATTGGGGAAGTCTGCCGCGGCGGCGCGCCAGGCTATTGACACGGTGCGGTCTGCGTGCAGGTCGATGTTACAACGCTAGCTGTTTGTTAGTTGCGGCGTGGGCGGTGGCCCCACCAGCGGCGGGCAGGTCGGTTTGCTGGCGGAAGTCGAGCTTCGGGCTCGGCGCCGAGCCGTCGCAGCGGTCCTCAGATGGACGCCCACCCGCGGAGAATGCCCTCAGGTGGACGCCCGTCTGGGCGAATGTCCTCAGGTGGACATCCGTCCGGAGTGAATGTCCTCAACTGGACGCCCGTCCGGGCGAATGTCCTCAGGTGGACGTCCGTCCGGGCGAATGTCCTCGGATGGACGCCCGTCCGGAGCGAATGTCCTCAGGTGGACGCACGTCCGGGGCGTACGCTCCACGAGGACGGCCGAGCTGGGGCACCTGCTCCGTGGCGACTGTCATGGTGCGGTCGAGGTGACTGACGGCCCTGACCTTCGGGCCGGCGTGGCGATGTCGGGTCATGTGCCGGCGGCCATCCGTCTTCCCCCATCGCCAGCTATTTTTCCGAGGATTGACGTCTTCACGTGTGAGCCTCCAACTTCGGCAGCTCGTCAGCCGGCGAGCTTGACTTGGCTCCAGGTCCGGGTACTGGACTGTAGCCGCTCTCCCGGCGCCAGCGCCGGCCGCCGTCCGCGGTCTGGGTGGGGCCAGCGAGCGGACACAGTGAGCAACGGACATAGCGAACACAGCGGACAGCGGGCACAGAGGACAGAGGGGCAGAGGACACGGCGGATACAGGGACAACAGGCACAGCAGACACAGGGACAGCGGACACAGCAGACACAGCGGACGAGGGGACAGCGGACACAGCGAACACAGCGGACAACGTGCAGCAGACACAGCATACACAGGGACTGCGGACACAGCAGACACAGCAGGCACATGTACAGCGGATACAGCAGACACCGGGACAGTGGACACAGAGGACACAGGGATTGCGAGCACAGCGGGCACAGCGGGCAGCGGACACAGCAGACAATGGGACGGTGGACACAACGGACACGGGAGCATCTGTCCCAGCCAGTAACGTAGGATCCGCCCCTGAAATGTTTTGTGGAGGAACGTATTTGCTAATTTGTCTCGTTATGCACGCTCAACAGAGGGCTAATCGTGAACTTTGATGAGATTAGGCAGCAGCCGCATAGCTCTGCGCCGTCCGATACAGTCGCGATGAATCAATTGTGATGAAATAAATCGCAGATTGGGAGTGATCCTGCAACACTCGCCAGACCCCACCTGAGCACTTCTCAGGTCTGAACGGTCATCAATGATCATCAGACTCTGTACTGCCACATGGAACGCTCTAGCATTGGCATTAACTGTCTTGACTCGGCCGCCTTGGAAGGATCGTGACCATGTGTTTCTGAGTGAAGACATCGGTCCATTTCTGCGCACATCACCTCGGTGAGACAATGTCCACGCGTAAAGTTATTCTGTGTGGTTCCTTACAATAACGCCACGAAACATAAGCTTCCTAGCCCTTGCCAACAAGGCGCATTGGCTTGCTACTGCTTTTAAATTTCTAGCAATCGCGCTGGTGGCCGAGCTTCCTGCTCGTTCAATTCGCGTTAGATGGACGTTACCTGATTATCCCGGCCATTCGGACGTCTTTCGGTGCGATCTCCTAGCAACGGTCGGTTTGCGGCGCCCGCTCTGTGATGTGAGCAGAACGTCGAGCGCTGAAAACCAAACAGCACGCCGCAGTAGGTGCTGGAGTGCTCCGCTGCGGGAGCGGTGAGCAAGAGATTGCCATCTGCTCCTTGGAATAATGCCGGCAGATCTCGATCGCGTGTTCCGTAAGCTTCGTGGTACATACCCTTTACATTTGTCCCGTGGTATTTACAGTTTGCTTGCTTAGACCCGTGCAACCCGGACAATTTAGTCCTTAATGCTGATTGGTCTGCATGTCGTGTAGAGTGGTGGTAGCTTATGTAAGAGCAGGGGTATCAGCAGATGCTTCGGCCATAAACCCTTTGCAGTGCTGCGCACGGAGGAAGACTCTTCCGTGCCCCCACACAGCAGTGAAAGGGCTTTTCGCCGAAATGTTTGCTGATCCACTGCACGCAAGATAGCGATCTACCGCTCTTTACGGCATGCAAGCTAGCAACCACCAATAAAGCATTCAGAGATGTTGTTTACCACCCTCCAGCGGGCCCTCGGAGAACAGCATCAATCTGGTCTTTGTCGGCATCATGAAATTTTGTAACATCACCACTCATGGTGCTTTGTTGGAAATGTGGCCTATTTTATGATCACAGTGCAGTTGACATGATTTACGATTTGTCAACACAGCGCATGACATTCGTCGTGTCTGCTGTCTGTTGTACGACCCCTTGACCGGTGTGGTCTTTTGTACCGTTCCTTTTACCAGTGCGCTCTTTTGTGCCATCCGTCTGATTAATGCGATCTGTCGGGCTTTCTTTCCCTTGATCAGTGCAGTCTGTTGCATCATCTCTTCCCAGTACAGTCTGTTGTACCATCTCCTTCGTGTCTCCGTCATTTGCTATCTCCGTGTCATCCCTTAGACCAGAGTGGCGTGTCGCGCTATTCCATTGACCACTGTGGTCTTTTGCGCCATCCCTCAGACCAGTGTGGTCTGTCGTGCTATCCCTAAGCCATTGTAGTATGTCGTCTCATCTCTGTGACCAATGCGGCCTGTCGTGCGATCCCTTTTGTCAGTGTGCTCTGGCGTGCTATGCCGCCACCAGTGCGGTCCGCCGTGTTATTGCCCTGCCCCGTACGCCTGTCCTGCCTGTCCTGCACGTCCTGCGCCCTCCTGTGGATTACCTGCGGATTACCTTACCCCTCCCCCTCTCACGAGCTGGACTGTGTGGTCCGCCGCAGGCGTGTGCCCGGTGCTGTGCAGCAACCACGGCACGTACGGCGGCGGCCGGTGCCACTGCGACGACGGCTGGAAGGGCGCCGAGTGCGACCTGCCCGCCACCGACTGCGTCATCGCCGACTGCCACGGCCACGGCACCTGCCGCGTCGGCCAGTGCGTCTGCGCCCCCGGCTGGAAGGGCGAGTTCTGCCAGACCGGTGAGTCGGGGTCGGACGGCGCTGCCGGCGGTCAGGCGGCCCAGGCGGCGGCCACGGCACGGCGCAGCCGTCAGGGAACGAGGATGAAAGCGATGGATCACTTCCTGGCGGGCGCGCGGCTCGTTAAGACTGCACGCACGCGATCACAGATCCATGAAGGACGCTGTTTTTCGGATGCGTAGTCGCCTGAAGACACGAAGTACCCGCGGGTGAAGTTCTCCATTACGCGGACTTGGTACATCAGAGGGTCAGATGTGCTCCTCTCCGCCGCCGTGCACCGGACGTTTCCCACATCCGGTTTCCCGCCGTCCCGCTCCCCCGTGCCCTCTGACCGATGTACCTGGTAACGAGCGGAGACGGGCTGCGCTGGCAGAACCGTCTTCTTACCCCGGAGAGTAAATGTATTCTTCAGCCACTCTGCTGGATCCTCGTCCATCACGGGGCCAGATGCAATATTTAGCGGCGGCGCGCGGCTGGAGCGGGGCCGCCGCCTCCTGCCTGCCATCTGTTGGCCGTCTCCATCAATAAAGCAGCCGACCGGGCCGGCCGCCGGCGACCGGCTGAATAGTGCATTCGGCCAACAAGGGAGGCGCGCGGAGCGGCGGCTGAAATGTTAATACGGCACCGGTCTGCTGAATCCTGTGGGGTCTCGTCCTCGGGAGCTTGACACGGGCAGAGGGAGGGGGCGGGGGGGTAGAGCCAGGAGGAGAGTCTCTGACGGGGAGAAAGACGAGACGCAACGGCATAGATCTGATGGATGAAATCATGTGCAGCCAGCGAAAAGAGTCGACAATGTGGAGACATGTATGGAGAGGTAGGGACGGGATGGGAAGAAGAAAAACAGATCTTGTTGGCCAGAAAGAGGGCTATAGGGAAAGTAGGGTTAAACATAGCGGAAAAATTCAACAGCTCTTCAGACAGATGTGTACGGGTATCAAATGTTTAGACTGAAGGGGTGAGGGAGGAAGAGGGAAAGGAAAAGGTACAGAGAGGTGATGAGGCATGGGCGGAAGTATTCATATCACTGGAGCGTTTCTCCTCCTCTTCCCTGCCATTTGTGTCTTGGGTGCCACAATATTTGAGCAAGATTACCTCAAATGAGTTAAATTTCGCCGAAGACAGCAAAAGCTGCTATAGTTTGAGAAAAAATGCTTTCGGCACCGAAAACATGCTGTGAACGAGGCTTCGGCTGTGCGATAATAATTGATGGACAAGCTATTTATTTCCCGTACTTACCTGGTGACTGGCCATTACTTACCTTAAAAAATAATCATGTTCGAAATAGGCTGCGGCAACTGCAACGGCAACAAGACCGCTCTGCGAACGGCATTTGAGCAGAAGTAACCGGTGGGAGGCTCCGCACGCGCGGACCTCATGCGTGGAGGTGAAGCGCGAGGGTGGTTCGGGCGTGGCCCGCTCTCGGAGTCGGCGGCCGGGCACTATTGAATTACTGTCGGCGGGTGCGGGACGCAGTCGGCCGCCGTCGGTCGAGCGGCGGCCGACTGCGCGCCGCCGCCGGACGAGCGGCGGCCGACTCCGCGCCGCCGCCGGCCCGGTCGCTTGGCATGCGAGCGGCGCGCCCCGGAGCCGACCTCGATCGGGCCGTATCAGATGGGCGGACAGCTGGGACCGGCGCCGGGCCCTGTCCGGCCGCCGACTGCCACGCCGATGGTGATGGCGCGGACGGGCGGGTGACGGGCCACTGGTGACGGCCGCTGGGGATGGCACCGGCCGACGGGTAACAGGACACCGCTACCGGGCGGTGGGGATGTTTCCGACCGACCGGTAGAAGGACACTGCTGCGGGCGGTGGCGATGCTACCGACCGACGGATAGTAGGATACTGCTGCCGGGCAATGGTGATGTTTCCGACCGATGGATAGCTAGACACTGCTGCCGAGCGGAGCCAGTGTACAGACTGGCCACTGACGACTGGGAGCGCTAAGGGCACAGACTAGTTACTGGTGACAGTCGAGTGATGCCGCCACCGACCCGGACGCGAGGATGAATCACCGGTGGCTGACAGCAGACGGAATTAGTATTATCTGGCGCTGGCAGGGAACTGCATGTCGATGGACTGCGCTCCGCTGGACTATAATGTAATGAACCGTATGCCGGTGGACTGTAAGCTGATGTCCTGCAAGTCAGTGGACTGTAAGCTGATAGGCCGTGAGTTAATTGACCGTAAGTTTTTAAACCGTAAGATAGATGAGTGTCAGCGACAGGACTCACGTGGATAAGGGGACTGTAATTCCATTTGCTGTCTGTCCACACACTGTAAGTTCGCAGCAAACTGTGCTTGACTTCGTGAAGTTTGAGTCGACTCCGCGATAAACAAAGTTGAAGTAAGTCAAGGTGGAATCGATTGCGATTAATCGATTGCCTGGACGCCCCCAAACCCTTGTGTTACGACAGCAGGTCAGTGCAAAACATCAGTCAGTTCGCGGCCTTCCGGCGCCTCGGCCACGCCCGGACGGCTGCGCGCACTGACGCGGCTGGGGGTGCCGGCAGCGAACTGACGCGACTGGGCGTGCCGGCAGCGGACTGACGCGGCTGGCCGTGCCGGCAGCGGATTGACGTGGCTGGGCGTGCCGGCAGCGGATTGACGCGGCGGGCCGTGCCGGCAGCGAACTGACGCGGCTGGCCGTGCCGGCAGCGGACTGACGCGGCTTGGCGTGCCGGCAGCGGACTGACGCGGCTGGGCGTGCCGGCAGCGGACTGACGCGTCTGGGCGTGCCGGCAGCGGACTGGCGCGGCTGGGCGTGCCGGCAGCGGACTGACGCGGCTGGCCGCAGACTGGGCACACTGACGCGGCTGGCCGTGCCGGCAGCGGACAGGGCACACTGACGTGGCTTGGCGTGCCGGCAGCGGACTGACGCGGCTGGCCGTGCCGGCAGCGGACTGCTCCGACCCGACCTGCTCCAACCACGGCGTGTGCTCGGAGGGCGTGTGCGTGTGCCTGGCCGGCTGGGTCGGCTCCAGCTGCCAGCTGCCGGACGAGCGGATCCGCCGCTGCCTGCCCGACTGCTCCGGCCACGGCGTGTTCGACCTGGCGCGCGACCGCTGCCTCTGCGACCACATGTGGACCGGCCGGCAGTGCGCCAAACGTCAGTATGGTCAGCGGAGACGCCCTCTCTGGCGCTCGCTCCCATTGCTTGATGCTGTTCTTCTTGAATGTTGACTGCTTTGTGAAGTGCACTAGACGTGGATCTTCATCATGTCTTTGGTTTTATTGTGACCAATTACATCCTGTGTTGCCCACACTTTTGCAGGTTCGGTATTATTCTTATACATAGATTGACGTGTGAGAGCTGTTTGCTAACGGCTTGTTTCAAGACCCTGTCTGTACTTAAATGCATTCGCGCGGCTGCGAACCCACGCGTTGTGCTGGAACGCGAATGCTCCGATGTCGGATGTTCAGCTGCATCTTATCAATCAGCATCGAAACAGCAGCAACGCACACTTTGTTTACGAAATCCAGCAGGCTCAGTGTCATACTCCATACGAGTAAATTCCTTTTCTTGCGGCATAGGCAATGACAAGCCGCTATTAAGACCACAGGCTTAATTTGCTTGACGCGAACTGGGAACTTTAAAACATAAGTAACGGTACAGAAAAGGTTCAATGTCATTCTCACTGTGCCGAGGTGGCCCGGGCCAGTTCGCTGCGCGAGTTCCGGTCTCCCGACACGCCGCAAGGCAAACACTCAGCGGCGGTACTCATTCCCTTTGAACCCGTGCCGAGCAGACGGGCGGAGGAGATGTTACGCTAGCGGCGGCCTAGCTGACCCGATCTATCCCGCTCAATAACCGCCCACCATTACCGGAACGGACATTCGGGCATTGGGCTTTACGGGGCTGCCAAGGGATCGTTCCACCGACGGTTCGGCTCGGCCAAACAGCAGGGCGAAGTTGGCGGCTCCGCGCGACGCGCCAGCAAGTCGGCAGTGTCAATACCATCCTCTATTTTTTGGCCGCAGCTCCACGGAAAGGCCGCGATTTAACGGCCGAAGTTTGACAGTAAGCGGCTGCAGTGCCACTGGCTATGCCGCCGGCGCGTCCGATGTTCCGACTCCGCTCTCCGCCGCCCGGAGCTCGCTGGTCGGGCTCGGCTCTCGTGGCGGAGCTGGGGGCGGGGAGGGGTTCAGCTGCTGCAGCGCCTCGTTCGCAGGACGAATATGGCCAAATCTCCGTCGTAATTGCGTGCTAAATTGCGATAATCCGGCGAGCGTGCTGCAGAAAGGACTACATCACTCGACGGCCATAAGCCGGGCTTAGTTGTTACAACAGCACAGTGCACCAGGGGATGTTGAGTCGACGTTATGCACCGCACGCGTGCTGGAGCGCTCTGTCGTCGTTCCAGCGCGGTGCGACCTGGACTGCGGCCCACATGGCTCCTGTCAGGCCGGCGACTGCGTTTGCGACTCCGGCTGGACCGGCCAGCTCTGTGACCTCAGGTCATGCGACCCGCGGTGCTCCCAACACGGCCAGTGCAAGAACGGAACCTGCGTCTGTCTGCAGGGTTGGAACGGTCAACACTGCAGCATTCGTGAGTACATCGTTAGACAGCGCATTGGCTTTTCTGAAAGTGTGTACTGCCATATACCAAACTGTTCTGCACTGACATGAAATACCTGTTCGTGTAAGTGCTGTGACGTTATCATGTACTTGACGCAGAATCAGCTGGCGCAATGACAGTCCATCTCCAACATGTCAACGCAAATATTATAAGGACATATGAATATGGTCTATTGATGCCATTTAATGTTTAAGAATAAGGTTTGTTTTAACAGCGTGTTGCTTAGGTGTATTGTTACAACTTAAGATTGCTGCTGTGTAGAATGCGTAGTTTGCTTTTAATTGAATGCTGGAGTCAGTTTGTCGACAGTGTTGAACAATTGTTTTGATTAAGTGCCCGAACTTCTTTGACGAGTATTGAAAACTCCCAACGTTCTGAATCATTAGCAAAATTTACTGCTACATGAGCATTGGCTCACCTACGATAGTCCTGGACTTACGGCTGAAATGAATGCATGAGATTGCTTTCCATTTCCGGCAGGAATGCATTCAACCTCATCAAGCATTTTCTCCTGGCTTAGTCAATTCATTTCTGCTTTAAACACTGCCCTGCCCCCAGTCGTAGGCTGCCGTTTTCTAATATTGCGGCACAGTATAACTTGCCAAATCATGCACGGCGGCGCAGTATATGTCCAGCGGCACACGCCTGCTTCGGTGCTGTCCTGTCCTACCTCGTGGTACTGTCCTGTCGTACCTCGTGGCACTGTCCTGTCGTACCCCGTGGTGCTGTCCCGTCATACCTCGTGGTACTGTCCTGTCGTACCTCGTGGCACTGTCCCGTCGTACCTCGTGGTACTGTCCTGTCGTACCTCATGGTACTGTCCCGTCGTACCTCGTGGTACTGTCCTGTAGTACCTCGTGGTACTGTCCCGTCGTACCTCGTGGTACTGCCTTGTGGTACCTCGTGGTAATGCCCTGTTCTATCTCGTGGCGCTATCCTGTCGTACCTCGTGGCGCTGTCCTGTCGTACCTCGTGGCAGTGTCCTGCCGTACCTCGTGGCACCGTCCTGTCGTAAGTTCATCAATATGATACATGCTGTTACGTGTTGATGCACGCCGCAGCGGTGGCGGCGCGGGACGTGAGCCAGTGCTGCCGGCTGTGGCGCCGCTGACATATCTGAGGATAATGAGTCCAGCGTTCGTGTGCTGACAGCTGCCGACCTTCATTATACCAGGAGGCACTGGTTTGACGATGTTATGTTTGTTTATGATGTTTGACGATCAAGCAAACATCGGCTATAATGTCAAAGCTGTCCAATGCAGGCTGCGTTTATGAACTCTAAAAATGATTCATCGCTATCTTTTTAGTGTTCGTGCATCCGTAAAGCAGTATAAGCAACGGCATGTGGTTCGCTACACGTACGGAAGACGTGCTGAAAAGTGCACTTATTCCGCCACCATTTTAAGTCTGTCCACGGAAACGTCCAATGCCTATAGGTTTTCCATTAGCACAATGGGCTGCAAGCATAGTATGGCTGAAAGCATCGAGATTACATTGCGCCTGAACAGTACTGCTGTAGTTTCCTTCACCAGCGTTTGGTTTTATATTTGTCAGCGCTCTTGGCATTGTCCGTTTTTCGGCGGTGACTTCCATTGACGCGTATGCAGCAACTTCCCCCAACTCGATATGCCTGAACAAAGCAGCACACCACCTATTACGGCACCGCTATTCAGTATTAGAGTTTTGTGCGTCCGTGCGCGCCCGAGCAGAGCCTGTTCGGGAGCATCAATCGAGACGGCCGGGGGCGCAGAGCCGCTTTGCCAGCTCGACTGGGCTCAGCCCCGCTGTCCGCCGGGACGACTCGACTAATGCCATTGGTTTTTGCTCCCGGCGCTATCACAGCCACTAATGGACCGACTTCCTTAATTCCCGACTGGAATCAATGGCGCTGAGATGCTTTCAAGGTATGCGGAGGAAATCGGAATTCGGTGTGCGGAGGATGCGGAGGAATTCGGAGCGAGGGTAGCTCTACGCGGAGGTGAGGTTCCGCCTCAGATGTAGCAGATCTGTGTGGGGTGTAAGCGTTTAGAAGCAGATATGCATCTGGATCGCAAGAAATGTCCGACGTCTTGAAGGATCGCTCAACCTTATTAGGACAGCGGTCCTGCACCCCAAATAATTTAATTTTAAAATTACACGAAAGACTCAATAGCATAGAGAATCCGTCTTGAAATGAACAAATCCCTGAAGACGGTCTGACAACATTTCGAAACGGATCCAGGATTCCGAAATATCCAGGCTTGTGGACTGACGGATCCTTTAGTACAGGTGCAGCTTCCCGACCTGCTTGCTATAGCTGACCTGCATAAGCGCGCATTTTTTAGGCTGTGAGTTAAATATGCCAAGATTTTGTGAGTAAGAATATTTAGGCATTGTTGTCACATGAATTTTAAGCGGCACGCTTGCGATCATTGAGGTACATTCAAAGTATTCAACTAAATACGATAGCAGTTAGCAAGCCAGCGTGGGATCGCTTTCCGTATTTGATCAGCAGTGGCTCAATCCTCAGTGATTCTGTACTTTAACTGCCACTTACGTTCATCGCGTGGGAAGGATTGACTGGAAAACTCGAGACACCTCCAACATTTTTGGAAGTTTGCCGTCCCGGATCATCATACACATGTAACCGTGACAGACATCGCAGGTAGTACAATAATAACATATATTGGTCATCTAAATTAAAATGAGCCAGTTGTCGAGCATCCCGTCCAAAGCCACGTAGAAAACGAGACAAAATTGCCGCAAGTTTGATTTCATTGGTCACAAACAAAACGCATATCTAATTGGAACAGCCAGAACACAGATTGAATACAAAACTGACATAAAGGGAATATTTCATAGCTATATGTGGCCTTGAACTGAAATTACCATCTTTGAAGTCCTTTTGGTACAGAGCACAGCTCTGCCATTCTTAACTCCTAAGCCCCCTTGGTTTCTGAGCTACATGCTCGCAAAAATGGGGGAGTATTTCGGGAGAGTATGTCAGTCACTCTGGCATGTGGGGATCAGGACCCAGAAAAAAAACTGTTGTTTGGGCGCTCATATCTGGCGTTCGTGAGTACCATTTCCAGATAAAACGGCCGTCGATTGGCTTTCAATGTTGTGCAAGGTACGATGAAGTAATAAAACCATGACGCATCGAGGAGCATATTTACCAAACAGAGAATTATGTTGTCTAGAGCGGTTTTTACACTTAAGAATTGTACCAATAATTAGAAGTGAGCGTGTTTCATCATATGTGATGCTTGCTTCAATATCTTCAAATGTGAAACATGCCTATAAAGGCGTATTCTGTGGCTGCTACGGTACATGCTACTACCCACTTTAGCTTGTGTAGGCTTGATTTCCTTTCGCTAGCACATTTATTTCTATTTTTTCTCATTTTCGTTGGTCTAAATTTGGCAAATGCGACGTTACATTTGGCGTTGCTCTGACTTTAATTATATTTTACAAAGCAGTATGCCGTTTAATGACAGTAACTGAAAGGTTGTTTGACAAAATATGGCATAAATTTTGGATCCCAGTAAAAGCCAAAACAACTTAAACACAGCCAACATGATGGGAGATTCATAGACCAAATTGGAAAAGACCCAAGATCCTAGAAGACTCTTCGGTAACTGTTTTGAGTGGACCTTACATCCCAGAATATCCTCTGTTAACATTTCCAGGAGTATTCTGGATTGTGGAAGGTCCAGATCAAGAACTCAGGCATATGATCCTGGGATCCAGGCAGACCTGGCAGTTTGGACCTTGGGCTGATCCGACCCTCCGACTCTCAGACTGATCCGACTGCTAAACATAGCCGGCTGTTCGGCCCCTGAACACAGCCTAAGCCTAGCCGGCTGTTCGACTCCTGGATTCAGCCTAGACATAGGCGGCTGTTCGGCTACTGGACACAGCCCAAACACAGCCGGCTGTTCGGTTCCTGGACATAGCCGGCTGTTCGGCTCCTGGACACATCCGACTGTTTGGCTGCTGGACACAGCCAGCTGTTCGGTTCCTGGACATAGCCGGCTGTTCGGCTCATGGACACGGCCGACTGTTTGGCTGCTGGACGCAGCGGGCTGCTCGGCTCCTGGACAGACCCCGCAGAATGTTGAGCCGAGCCAGAGCCGGCGGCCGTCGCCGGCTGGCGCGGGCCATTGTCGGCGTAAATCTGTAGGGCGGCGGCCTGAATGGTCGCGGCGCCGCGCCGCCGACTGGGAACGTCGCCAGCTGCCGGGACCGGCAACAACTGGCGAGGCGACAGCGTGATGGACGACACTGTGCTGACGCCATTCAGCCGCGCCGCCGCAGGCGTTATCGAACACGGCGTAGCATTCACGCATTCATGACGCCGCGGGCAACCACGGCGCTAAAAATACGGAGCGGCCAGGAAGTGCTCAGGCGGCTTTTATTCTCGAAGAGGGTGGGCTTGGAGGAAGTACGGTTTTGTTGAAGCACGGGAATTGTTTTATGTGGGAGAGGGCCTTGTGGGGCGTTGTTATATTGTGGAGGCCCGGTTGACTCGAGTTTCGGTATTAAGTAAAGTTGCGCAGCTTGTTTTTCTTGAAGTGATTTCATCAACGACTCGAGTTCCACTAAGGGAGATTGTGTTTCTCCGACAATCAAGAGAAAAGTTTAGGGTGGGCTGCCTTATATTAAAGTTACTTGACATCCCGTAGATGCGTCCATATCATGTGCCTCAGAGGTCGGTGAAGGTGTTTTCAAAGCTGTTGGCGGCGGCGTCAGTGGCTATGCGTGAGATCACAAGGTTGCGGGGAACGACACGATTAAATCAAACGATTTCGACGCGCTGGCCAGTGTAATGCCAAGTTGTGCTGGATATCATCTGATCATCGCAGACAGCTCGTATCAGCCAACTTGTCATTGTACAGGAACGCTATTTTGTTATCATTAGGCACGTTCCGGACACTCATATGGTAGCAGACACTGGCATTATTTAGTGTTGAATACTGTTGGACACCCTTATATACCCTGCATGACGGTTGTTTTTAACCACGATTCCTGTTTTTTTTTCTCCGGCGTCAGCCAGCAACCTATTCGTGTGCCGACGGGCACTCTTCCAGCTACTGGTGCACGACGGACACTGATCCACAGATCCAGGTGCCTGTGCACCGATCCATGTACCGTGTACTGACTGACGTCAATACAGCTCCTTGTGCAACGGCCAGGAGCAAAGGCCGCTGATCGTTTCCATACGGACGACCATTGGGCGCATCCACAGAGTTTACAGCCCGGTTATTGCCCTTTCCGGACTTCATTATTGGTATACTCGCATTGATCTTTCTGACCAACGCTGACACACGCTTATAGATTTATTTTCCATTCTCCCCCCTGCGGAATTATCAAAAGGAAAAGTTGAAGCGGATTATTGCGGAAAGTGGCCCGACGCATTTATCCACTTCCTGTGTAGATATTGAAAAGTGCCGGAGTCTTTTCTCACCGACATTTCGGTGAATCTGATCTCAAAATCATTCCATTCTCTGAAATATGCGCCATCAGCCAGTGTGAGATGTTTTTGTCGAGTGCGGTCTCCCACTCATCTCTACGCGAAATGGTCGCCGCCAAAGTTCTGGAGCGCCCTCTTCGTGTCATCCATTCGTATTGGCTTAGCGGCGCCAAAAACGGGACCTAGGACCCCACTGCCGCTGTTTGTCGTGCAGCCGGGACACGATTGATAACGTGGCGACACCCTCCAGCGCGGTACGAGGACATTTGTCATTGTCTCGACCACTGGGGGGTGACAGTAAGATGTAAATCCGACGATGTGCTGAAGGCCCCCGACGAAAAACCGCGCTGGATGCGGAACTTCGGCGGCGGCGTCGGCGGACAAAGCTAATGGCCTCATGTATCACGCTGGACGGGTCGGGGATCGACGCCTGCTAAAGCATTACCGTGATCAGGAAATGGAGTTAACGTGTCGCTTTCGCACACTGGGGCCGTCGCTGTGGTTGTTTCACATTAGCGTATTGCCACTCTCGCACAGCTGTAAATAAATCAGCGCAGGGAGCAATGTGCCGACTTTGGGGGATGTTCTTGGAACGAGGAGCACTCAACGGCATCAGCCACCGCTGTTCCGGCCATAGCAAGCCTGAGATCCGCGGATTTCTTTTCACGTCATATCCTCAGCCCAGGTTCGCGAGGTGCGCTCCACACCGGCCTACGTCCCAGCTGCCCTCACCTGACCTGAGTTGGCCTTGGTTGCAGCCGGCTGCCCGGATGGGTGTAGCGGCAGGGGCTCCTGCACCATGCAGGACCAGTGGTACTCCTGCTCCTGCCACGACGGCTGGGACGGCACCAACTGCTCCATCAAGCTGGAGATGGACTGCCGCGACGGTGTCGACAATGACGGAGGTGGGTGAGGAGTGAGCAGGGCCTGGTGCCACCGGCTGTGGGGATTGGGCTGACTAGATCTGGGCCAGGACGGGACGAAGATGGACAAGCGGGTAGTTAGGCATGCATTTCGGCACAAGAAAACATTCCAGGATTTCTTGCTGCGTGCCTGACATGGTTTAGGGAGTGCACTTATTATTTAGTGGAATTGTTCAGTTGATAGCCTTTATAATGATAAAGAGAAGGCAGGCTTCACACGTCAGAAAGCCAATAAGATATTTCGGTCCAGCTCTAAGCGCGCCACCGTCTGCTTGAGCGTGAGCCTGCTGGTGAAAACGCTGCTCGCTCCGTGGATGGCCGCCGGCGAAATCTCCGGCCGCCGGCGAGTGCGCCTCCGAACTATCACAGGACGGAGCCAGCCCAGCCCAGCCGGAAGACGGCGCCGCTCCAGCAATCCCCCATTCAAGACGCGGGCGCACTTGCGCGCTGTCAGGGCCCATTTCTGCGGCGGCATTCGACCAGCGCGGCGGAAAGGTCATGCGCCAAATGGCGCTCGTGAACTGGACTTGACGACCCTCGTCCGGCGCCCCCGTGGCAGATCGAAGGAAGGCGTGCGCCCGTTATCGATGCTTGCGATGGCCAATTGCGATAAATCGGCGAACGGCTGCGTTCTCGACGCCTTTATGTGGCAGAGGAACGGATGTGTCGTGGCCTGGAAGACATGTGTGAGGCCTGATTGATTCGTATTCAAGGTAGTTCCCCTCTATTGTTCAACATCTATATTATATCACTTCCGTGTTCCTTCCAACTGCTTCCTCGTGCATGCTTCTCGAACAGTCAGTTTAGCTTTTCTTGCAACGTCATATTTCGAAATAGGATAGCGTATCTTCCCCGACTCCGAGCAACTAGCTCAGGTGTTTCATCAAGGTTTTAAAGCTCACAGAAAATTTTTAGTCGCACCACCTTGAACCGGAAGCAACGAGGATCTTCTCAGTTGGCTCTTAGAACCCATGAGAGTATTATGTCAATACACAAAGGCCAGGATCATGAAAATCTCAACAGAGATATATCAGCGTGGTTTCCGCGGTTCTCTCATTCCCTGCGGTGCCATCCGCCCGAGCTCCGCCAGTCCCCGTAGTTCCATCCGTCCGTGCCTCTATCCGCCTGGCCTATATGGTCGCTCTCGTGGCGTGCCGGAAGCATGGCGGCGTCATGCTCGGTGTCGGCGTGACTAACAGAGCACCACGGAAGAGGCCAGCGGGCCGCGCGGCACCCATGTCGGCGAGAGACGCGTGACAGAGCCCAGCGCCCGATGGCAAAGCTGCACTGATGAGACCACTCGGGCGGTGTCGCCTGGATCGGCACAGCGAGTCGTGCTCGCTCAGGCAGAGATCGTCTCAACTCCGAGCACGCCAGGAGCAGAGCTTGTTGTTTTGACCCTGGTCCCACTGCCGGAGCTGGGCTTGACGCATCCGCCTAAAGCTTCTCCTCAAGTTGAGTTCTGAAGACTCCTGTTTCTTCTGGATTAGCGAGGCCTCGCTGGATTTCGCTGCGGTTGAGGAACACAGTTCCTTCGTGGACAGGCAAACCAGCCCACGAAGAACTGGCTTGTCTGTGCTGCGCAGGACTTATCCCCCTCGAGCGCGCGCTCCGCCAACGCTGCGCCACGACCGTGAGGCCCATGGGAGCGGCGCCCGGTGCTGATTACGGCCGTTACTACGATGAGCACAATCTGGAGACACTTGCATAGGAGATAAGGTCGTCGGGGCCAATGAAACGGCCTTAAGACGCTCAAAGCCGGTAATTGCAAAATAAATGCGTCCATTCTCTCTGCATTCGGTGGAGATATTGTTCCTGACATTTTCCAGCTGTGGGATGGGATTTTCAACAGGGTTTATAGATTGCGGTATGGAAAGGTCAGATGTAAAACGTAAGAGAATCCTCGATGAAGTCGTCAAAATTTAACTGTGACTGTCATGCGGCTGGTATGGCGAAGTGTACTGAAGATTGTTCACGATCGCTTGTTAACCCCGACAGTTATTTTAAGGTAGAGCCAGAAATAGGCCTGCAAATAGCTTTGAGACGCACCCACAGTCTTTCGAAAATGCATTAGACCGCATGCGCCCTCCAACAACCACGCTCATCTTTAGTGTGATGGAACTGCCCGAAAACACACCACGACACCGTATGACATTCCCCAGCCATTAGCAAGCTCGTTTGCAGACGAAAATACTTTTACCGCTACACAGTTTAAAACCATATTATTGATGTGTCCGCTTTCTTTGCGATGATACGCAGGTCTTACTGCCAAACAGGTCCAACTAAAACACACCGCAACGCTGCACTGTCATGCACATAACTTAAACATAGATCTACCCGAAATCCACCACTCACGCGTGCATCGGGGTTGCGAGGTTCCTCCATTGTGGACGCTTCCAGAGCGCGAACACTCGAAGACATTCAGTCCACAATGGCCATCAGCTGGTGTAAATGAAGATGGAATTGAAGAAATAGCTCGGGAATGCTTGATCATAGTTAAGTTGTCATTCTTTGGATAACGAGGTTTGTATATGTTAATATGTATATATATATATATATATATATATATATATATATATATATATATATATATATACAGAAGGCGGTTGTCCCTCTCTCTTTCCCCCTTTCTTTCTCTCTCTCTCTCTCTGTCTCCCTCTCTCTCTCTCTGTCTCTCTCTCTCTGTCTCTCTCTCTCTCTCTCTGCCTCTCTCTCTCTCTCTCTCTCTCTCTCTCTCTCTCTCTCTCTCCTCTCCTCTCTCTCTCTCTCTCTCTCTCTCTCTCTCTCTCTCTCTCTCTCCTCTCTCTCTCTCTCTCTCTCTCTCTCTCTCTCTCTCTCTCTCTCTCTCTCTCTCTCTCTCTCTCTTTACAATACAGATTGTGTGTTGCATTTGATATCCGCACATTGTTACTGCAAAGTTTATTCGTAATCTTTTCTTCTCAAGCAGCGCATTCAAGCGCAAGCCTGACCCCAACACCATCAATTTTCTGCTCCGTACTTGATCCGTCGTCCAGTAAGTTCAATAACCTATCTCGGGCTATCTCCCTCCGAACGTGCTCCAATCCGCGACGCCATTTTCCCGTGCCGGGCTTCTGCTGGCGCGCGTCCGACACGCTAAGCCCCACCAGCCGCCGTCGACGGCGCCGGCAGGCCCTCCGGCCGGGAAAAATTCCCGGAATGTTGTAATACATTACTGCTGGATGGCGGGGTCTTTTGGACTGGCGCCGCCGCATGCAGTGCCGTTCCATATGCTCGGGCGGCGCTGGCTCTCACTGGCGGATCGATAGCGGCAGCGGGACAGTGGGCGCATAGCCGTCCGCCTGCTGGACTCTCCTCAGCACCGGACAGTGGGCGAACAGCCGTCCGCCTGCTGGACTCTCCTCAGCACCAGACAGTGGGCGCACAGCCGCCCGCCTGCTGGACTCTCTTCAGCACCGGACTGTGGGAGCACAGCCGTCCGCCTGCTGGACTCTCCTCAGCACCGGACAGCGGGAGCACAGCCGCCCGCCTGCTGGACTCTCCTCAGCACCGGACTGTGGGAGCACAGCCGATCACCTGCCGGACTCTTATCAGCACTGGACAATGGGCACACAACCGCCGGCCTGCTGGACTCTCCTCAGCACCGGACAGTGGGCGCACAGCCGCCCGCCTGCTGGACTCTCCTCAGCACCGGACTGTGGGAGCACAGCCGATCACCTGCCGGACCCTTATCAGCACTGGACAATGGGCACACAACCGCCGGCCTTCTGGACTCTTATCAGCACCGGACAGTGGGCGCACAGTCGCCCGCCTGCTGGACTCTCCTCAGCACCGGACAGTGGGCGCACAGCCGATCACCTGCCGGACCCTTATCAGCACTGGACAATGGGCACACAACCGCCGGCCTTCTGGACTCTTATCAGCACCGGACAGCGGGCACACAGCCGCCCGCCTGCTGGACTATCCCCAGCACCGAACAGTGGGCGCACAACCGCCGGCCTGCTGGACTATCCTCAGCACCGGACAGTGGGAGCACAGCCGATCGCCTGCTGGACTGTCCTCAGCACCCGAACAGTGAGCAGACAACCGCCGGTCTGCTGGACTATCCTCAGCACCGGACAGTGGGCGCACAGCCGATCACCTGCCGGACTCTTATCAGCACTGGACATTGGGAGCACAGCTGATCACCTGCTGGACTATCCTCAGCACCGAACAGTGGGAGCACAGCTGATCACCTGCTGGACTATCCTCAGCGACGGAACGTCTGCAGTGATTAGATGTCAACAGTATCCATTGTTTTCATGCCTGTTGGGTGTACAGTGTTCTTGCCATCTGACCAGGATACGTGAAAATTATGCAAATGTGATGCGTTTTAAAGCGTCAGTTGTGTACAATTATGCCTAAGGAGCCCCAGTACATGGCCGGTACTGTTGTTCTCCTTTGCCTAATGAATAAGGACACGCTGAATCGATGCCTCATGTCTGCTGTAGCTTCTTCCGGAATGTTTGGCAAGCAAATTAGAGGACCCACAGGAGGCTCTAATGACAGGCAGAAAGACTTAAAAGACAAAGACGGGGGCGCTGCGGCAATATAGTGCAACAAGCCAGTGTCTTCAGTATACCAGATGAAATGCAAATGCCCAAAGACAACAGCGCTGGCACTTTCCAACAACAACACTGCGTCGGATCGAGCGGGCGAGCTCGACGGCTGCCTGAGACAGAGGTGGCTGCCGTCCGCCCGCCGCTCGCCTTACCTAGCACGGCCTCCGCCTCATCAGGGGGGCTCACGGTGCTGCCCCACCGGTCAGATCCACAGCTGTCCGCGCGGCTGCTGATCCTGGCCGAATGATTCTCCCTGCCCCATCGCCAGCTTTCCGCCTTTTCCCGGGACCTGCTGCATCCGTGCACGGCCGCGTGTGCATGCACAAGCGGTGGGTCGATGCTTGGATAGCTATTTCAGACAAAATGAAACCGCCAGGAGCGTTTCAGCCCCGATATTCCCATGCATCATATATTCCGCCCAGCCTTATGAAGTTCTTCAGTGCACCGTTTAATCGTCCCATTCCCGCGTGGGCTGAGTGGAGCTCCGAGGCGTTCTGCTCTACTGTCAGATCTGCAGCTCTGTCGAGATCACACCGGACCGCGTCAGTGTTCTGACCAGTCGGCGCCTGGGGCTTGATGGCTGCTGCTACAGCCGGGCCGACACCCGTTCGGGCCGGGCGGGGTCCGCATGACCCCCTCGCTCGCGTGCGGCAGACACTGTTCCACCATGGGTTGGAGGACCGTTGTCGTGGGGTCATGCTCCGGGACGGGGTACACGTGTGCCGCGCTCCGCCCCGCCCGTGTCGAGCGGGGGCAGGGACGTGGCGGTGAGCCTCCGCAGCGTGTCAGCATTGATTTCTACCATAATGACATTTGCGAATATTGCAAATGATCCCGCTCCTTATAATATCTGGGCTGTGAGCTCAACTTCGCACCGTTCATGTCATTGCAAATGTCAGGTACCAGAAGGACTCTTACTGGGACGGGGACCTCCAGCACCCGGCGGTCGATTCCTGGCCGGCTGCGCCACGTGCACGCCTCTCCCGGGCGGCGTCCATCGCGCCTGAGCTGGTCCCGCCCCTACCGGCAGACGGCATGGTGGACTGCAGCGACTCGGAGTGCTGCTGGGACGCCAGCTGCGCGGCCAGCCTGATGTGCCTGATCTCGCCGGAGCCGGTCGGCGTGCTGCTCGGAAAGCAGCCCGCCCGCCAGACGGCCTCCTTCTACCAGCGCGTCAAGTTCCTCATCGAGGAGAAGTCGGTGCAGGACTACGCCGAGAAAGACGAGTACAGCGAGAGGTGAGTGGCGCGCCGCCGGCCGCCGGCGCCCGCGCGCGCGCGCCACGCCCGCCCCTCAGTTCCACCTCTGCCAGCTGAGTTCCGCCCGCGCCAGCACCGGCGCCGGCCACACCGGTCCGTTCGCTTTTGGTTCGGCCTCGGTTCACTCGGCAAGCATATTGTCTCTTTCTAAAATGGCACACTGGGCAGTGATTGGGCTTTTCGAGCATTCCAGGGCATGCCACTGATTTGATCGCTTGGTACTATTCAACATGGCGGCATCTGATCTAACGATGTAAAGTTCAACACGCTTTTGTGCTGAATTGTATAACATGTAATGGAACGCAGGTTAGACAGCCTGCGAAAAAAACAGTATTTTGTTGTTTGATACGGTATATTTTGCGCTCCTTGGAACCCGGAAGCCCATTACAAACCCATCATGTCATAGTTCCTAATAAACTGATTAAACAATTGCTTGTGCTCCATAGCACACAAGGCGTGCCCCTATTCAACAGAATATTACTGCGACATTTTCCTACACAATAAAGTTTACTGTAACACATCTACAATATTGGCTTAACCCACAACGCGTGGGATATTCCACCACATGTGACCGCTTGGGGAGGGAGGGGGGGGGGGGGGCTCAATGCAGAGTCCTGGTTTCCGTCCAAGTAGCTCAGGATCTAATTGTCTGATCATAACAATTCGGATGGAAACGGAAATCTGGTCGACTTCATCCGGGGACCATTAAGTAGCAGCCGTCATATGTTTGAGGGTGCCGTTATTTGCACAAAATACCTGAAAATGTCTAATCTTTGAACAACTTGAGGGCCTCTAGCACCCACAACATTAATTGCAAAGTTCCGTACGTGCCACCGACACGGGGACGCGTTCTTGTGCTCCCGAATCATACTGATATGCCACCAAAAGTCAAAACTAGGTCATGTGAGGTCAGGGTCATGCCAAGTTCATGTTAGGTCAGCTCATCGGACATAGCTTTACGTTCTTTCAGCTCACGCGTTAGCTATACGTGACTGACGTGACAGCATGACAGTTACCCTCATCTACCACAAGTGGGGGTAACAGATCACGTTGGTTCAACACCAGTAAACACCTCTGATGATGATTGGGTTTGACCTTGTATAGTTCACTGTCCTAGATTGGAAAACATCGCCCGTGGAATCAATCTCTGGTGACGTCATAAGGCGGCGACCTGATCTTATATCAAAGGCTCCCTTACCTTCAGATGTGTTGGGCTGACCACTTCTCAAGCACTCTAAATGTGGTGCATCTGCCTAGTGTGGTTCGAAGACACTACCGAAATCCGGAGCGTGTGTTCCTTTAACCCCACCAAGCGCTCGCACGAAAAATTTCACATGATGTTCGGCATGTTTACGTTGGTCATGTGAACAGTTGAAAAGGACGCCTCAGTGCAGTCAATGAGTGCATTTACAATAAATTAAGAAGCTTATGCTATCACGGATATAGGTGCATACTTATTTATTAACAATCGTCTAAAGATCAATATTAAGTTATTAGCTATAAAAAGCGATTTTTCCTCAATTATTCAATTTGTTCTGCTGACCACCGACTTCAGTTCATCGCGGCGAAAAGACATTCAGTTAAGAGGATAGACCAAAGCTGTGCTTACGACTCCTTATGCGTCTGCAAACCACTTTGATATGTTTTACTTTAACAGATGTATAAAAATTTACACCACTGTTTTGGCGGCGCATTTATAGCAGTTTTATTGTCTGGCACTAATAAACTGTCTGCTTATTTCAACGAATTATCTTCATGAATACAAATCTGAAGCATTTACAATGATATTGGCAGCTGACATATTACGATGTCTGTTTTAGAAAGGGATAATATGTTTCCGGTGTTTTGCAATTTCATCATTTGTGTTATCAGCCATACGCAGGTGCTTTCCCTCTTTAGAACTACAGACGACAAGATCACCAGTAGAGCAGTTCACCGCCGAGAAGAGCCTTGGATCCTTCTCCTGTCATGCACTGTATCTGTCCTTGTCTAATGTTGCTTGCTATATATTTTCTTCTCTAGTTCTGTTCTGTCCTTATTGCGCTGGCAGCTGCTCTCTTTGTTGTCAGCCTTGACTGCACCGTTTCTCTTGTTTACTTTGTCAAGGTAAAGCTCATAACAGCGCTGCAGCTGACAAGAGAAATTGAATGCCAGTAATGTCAGTTCCTTGCAGTAGTTGGCTTCGGGCACAATGGGGCGGTGGTGTCCGCTGTTTTGCAGGATTCTGTCCAAAGCCGGACAGATCGCAATGCTGAGACTAAGTGAACAATGCAGACCTTTGCCGAGCAAACACATCTTATCCCTCTTAGAGTTTTGTTTCTCGGTCGCTGCTTTAAAATGTGAAGGCTAACGTTGAGAATTGCATTGGCTTCCACTTGCAGTTTCCATTTCTCAGTCATTCGCGTTACAGGTATCTGTGAAATTGACTTACGCAAATTAATTTGCTAGGCTCGGAGAGCCTGGCATTTTCTCACTGGTTCACCTGGACAAAATAACAGCTTTGCAAAAATCGGGTTCGGGCAAACCTTGCCGCTGTTTGCCCATCTTTGCTGAGTGGATAAACGCTGAGGCGTTTTTGATGCTTGCGTACATATGAAGGGCCATCTTAACCTATCTCGCAGCAGTGCCGAATGGCCTTTTTTCTCCGGGTAATTTTGTTGCCCTCAAATCCCCTTCGGTAAAATCTACAGATCAAATTGCGGGGTTATGTTTGCTCGCACCTTCACAAGACAGTCTAAAGTGAAGCGTCACTTGCGTAAATTGCCTACTACTACATCATCCACGTCCATGTACATGCTAATGCACGCCTGGGAGCGCTGGCGCCCGCCCGTGGTCGGGACACCACCGCCCGCTGCCTGTTATGTGTAGCCACAAGGTGACGCGTGTTGTGGCGTCCTGTCCGCGTCTCATGTCTCCCTGTGTGGGCCCGCCTCGCGACCACCTCACGTGACCCCTCTGTGACCTGGACCATCTGTTTACGCAGTCGATTCTGGAGTGCGTTCGAGCCGCGGTAAGTCCTGTCCGCCCGCCGCCCCGAATGCTGTCCGTCCCGGTCTGCCCAGCTCCTGTCCCCGCTCTCCGCCGCCTGTCGGCGCAGCCGCTGTAGCCGGCGCGGTCTCGGGTCTCGAGTCCAGCGGCGCGCCGCCCCGCTCCTCTCGGGTGGCGCTGCCGCCGAGCCCCCGGCCTCGAGATCGCAGGTCAAAGGCTCGGAGTTTTGCAGTTGGGAGCGGCGCGTGAGCGCTGTGTCAGTTATGTTGTCAGTTATGTCACCTCTGATGTGACGGAGTTCGCTGGCCTCGAGACCTGAAGTCCGTCTGCGGCTCGTTTATCCGGTTCGTACGGATCGAAGCATCCACTCATTCTTTACATTCTTGTACGTGCTGTATCAGTGATATGTTTATGCTTGACAGAGATGTCGGTTTGTGATGAATTCAGGGCTAACTCTCATGTTTTGCCAGGTTTCATGGGCTCATTGCTAAAAGTGCTTATTTGTGAAAGCATAATGCCTGCAAGTACGGAAAAATGCTGTTTGACTGATGGCTGCAACTAATTGAGCTATCGTGCTTTTTTGCATTTTCCTTGATCAATGATTTGGTTCCATCTGTTGTGAAGTCATTTACGGTATGCAATGCGGATCATCAGAAGGTGTTGGGTCAATGAAATAGTTAGAGTCTACTTTTGCACGATATCAACTATATTTCTTGTCAAAAGGTGCATTTCTTGATGACTCGCTGTATGCCATTAAGTTGGAAAAATTTAGCTGTTCGATAGCAGAATATCATGACGCCCTCAAACTTTGAGATCTGTACACCAATGTTGTACGCCCAGCTTAGCTCCAGCTGGCGTATGTCACAGTGTTAACGGCGACCTGGCTTTCTAGGCGCGTCTCGGTCATTCGCGGCCGCCTGGTGTCCTCGCAAGGCCTGGGCATCGCCGGCGTCCGTGTCAGTGTCAACAGGGACACCAGGTTCGGCCTGACACTCAGCCGGAAGGACGGCTGGTGAGTATCCGCGCTCGTGGTGAGCTCAAAACTCACCGCGGCAGGAGCGGGCGCGCGCTGGGTCGGACGAACGCTCTCACCCTTTTGATGTTTGTGTGATAACAGTCGGGATTCGGGAAGATGGATGGTAATAACGTATGAGGGGTGCGGTGAATCTCGGAGATACGGAGCATTGTGAATGCTGTGGCATAACAGTACTATTACAAGCAATTCCACATCTGGTCTCGCGATAGCATTGTCAGGCCGTTAAAGACGCGCGTTTCAATTTGAAAACGCATTGCGACGCGTAGGAAATGAGATAACTTCGAACGTAACTGCATAAGTTTTCCTGCGCCAACGAGAATGCAATCTCCCTTCTGATGCATGTGAATGCTGCGTTATCTTCTGGGGCCAGCTTGAACTCATTTCTCGGAATTATCATCTTTATGACGAGTCTGTTGTCCCATCGCACAGCAAGTCACATGCATCTTATCGTTCATCTAGAATAGAGTGGCTGATTAATGGTCGTCCGTTGCCTGGCTCGGTCGTTTGTTCTCATAATTCACTGGGTGCGGACAGGCATACAGCTGAAGTTCGGCCGGACGACTACTAACGTGTCAGTTGTGTACCATCGCGGGCAGATTGTCTGCGTGTTTGTCATAGCAGATCTGGGTTAGATGTGTCACAAGTTTAGCCATTTAAATGTGATGGTAACATAGTACATAAATCAGTGGTCATACGTACCTACCACCAGCACACCATAATCAAGAATGTCTCTGGACAGTTGGCGAGCGCAACCTAGAAGTGACAACGGGGCAGCTCAAGCAATCAACGCTTTGCTCGCTTCAAGCTTCGCTCTGGTCGTTGACTCGCGCGTGATGCCGGGGAAACGTGTCGTTTCAGAGATAGCCCAAACGTCGGCCAAACACTAGCCGCTCCATGACCCCTTCGACCCGTGGATTGCCCCCAAACAGCGTCCTCTTGAGCTCGCCTGCCGGCGCGGCGGCTGGCTCTGGGTGGTGCGAAAGAGTTTGACGTGCGCCGCCTCGCTGTCCGGGCCGTGCATTATTCAGCGCCGCTCTCCACGTCCGAGAATATTTGAATAGCTGGGCTCGAGTCGGCGGCCAGGACGCGCAGGGCCCGCCATCTTATTGTCTCGGTCGGAACTACGTGGCTCTGGAAAGTTTAAAAGCCCCCGGCGGTACACGAAACTCTACTCGAACATGTCTGAAACTTGGTTTTGAGCTCACATCCGGTCAGGGCGACTCGGGAGGCCGCAGTTTTGCCCCGTGCTTCTGGAGCGGTGCGGCTCGGACGTGAGGCCAGTGCGACTGCCCGCGGCTCCTGCCCCGGGCAGGCGAGCTGCCCATTACGCAGGCGAGCTTGGACGCAGCGAATTGTAATGCGCTGCCCGATATCACCATGCTCAATTCGTAGTTCGTTGCGCCGTCTGTTAATGCGGTCGGGTTGGAGGTTTGACTGCATGGTCGTCATTGCGGCATCGACCTGCTTTGCTGAAGGCCCATTAATCAAACGTTCAACGGAATCTGGACTGAAACGATACGTCAAATTACCAATCACGCGGCCTGATATTTAAGCCTCGGTTGAAGCGCTTGGAGCCGGATTGGTGTCTCAAGGGGATTGGAACTCTTTTGATGGATGGTTGCCTTTGTATATACCGCTAGACGTCTCAGAAATTACCGCCCTTCATTTGACATTTCCCGAAAGCGTGGTTGGAAAACTATTTTCCTGAAGTCAAGTTTCAAATTTCCTGAGAACCGGCTCAGCTCAGAGGGTAGGCGACAACATTCGCCCATTTCCCTGTAGAAGAACGGAGTGTGGCTAGTGAGCACAGCATCGCCCTTTGTAACTGGGTAGCCTGTGGCGTGGCGTCATCGACTTTGTCGACGCTGCCTTATCTGGTCGTCTAAAAAGTAAATAGAGAAAAGTAGGAGCGAAACAGCCGGAAGATGTTGCATTCACGACATCCACTCCCAGGACTTTACGCTGGTTACTGCCGACCTAAGATCAGATGTAAAGCCTTCGGGAGAGATTCGTGCGAATTTTTCTGGAAAATTATGGAAAACCTGGCATGTTGGCAGCGCCATTGTTGCACTTCAATTTAGGTAACCGCTTAATTGACGAAAGGTTCAGTTGTGTACAAGCTGATGTTCATTAACTCTATGAGGCTGATTGTGGAGCCATGGTAAAAATGTAAAGTAGCTCACTTCCATGATATGAGTCCATGAGCTCAGGGCAGAGGACATTCGCCCACTGCATCAACGAGTCGCCCTCCCTGAGTAAGCTCTCTGCCATCTAGTCGTCGTTACCGTCGTCGTCGTCGAACAGTCCAGGTCGTGTTCACGATGAAACGCAAATGGTGACAAAGTCGAAAATAAGAAGGCGTTTGGTCTACTGGCGCTCATGTGTTGGCAATCCCGGTTAGCAACCAACTGAAAGCAGGCAGGACTCCGTGCCTGGCCGCCGCGGGAAAGGTCACTTGTTGTTTCCGGTCCAGCTACCTTACTGTCCGCAGCTTAACCTGGACTGACTCATAAGCTGCTCAGTGAACTTACGTCTTGTCCACTTAACTCCAGACTTTATACAGTTCTACGCAGGACATCTTGAATCATTCCCTTTGCGAATACAAAAGAAGTGTAGTGAGGCCGAATCAACGATGTTGTCCGTGACCATCGAAATCAGCCGCAAAAAATGTGTTTGCATTTTGTTTTTATTATTTTTATTCATGCCCGCCAGCCCAGAATGCTTGTTGGCTGATGGAATGTTTTAATGACGCCTGATCTTACTTAATGCTCGGATCATCGTGTGGGCTGATGTTAGCGCATTAGCTAGATTGACGACTGACTGGTCTTCACGTTTGCATTGTAACATTTTTTGATACCGAAATCCGGGTAAAATAAACTTTAACCTGGTAAATTAATTTCCGACTCGGATAATACAAACATTATGCAGCTGGTGTAGATTTCAAGTCACGGCCGCTGAAGCATCGTTGACAAAATTAGGCACCGGCTTTCTTTACCGGTGTTCATCGATAGTGATCGGCAGTTTTCTTGAGCGTCTGCGGCCTCGTGGTCTAGGGAAAGATTCCAGGCTAACGTTCAGCAGCTTGGGTACGGGTCCCAGAACTAGCGCTTGTGTACGACAGGCGGAGGAACCAGTTTGAGCCGACCGGCACGGCCAGATCAGCTAGCAACTGGCCACAGGGATCGGCCTGGGGCGAGTCGGCCGCGTCGTAGCGTTGCACGCCGCGCGCATAACCATCCGCAGCTCCGTCTGGCTAAAGGCCGGAGACGTTATTACTGATGGCCTGGAAGGCGGGAGGCTGTTGGCTGAGATCCGTTGACACAGACTTAATTAGGCCCGGTTGATTTGAGCGGCCCACAGCACACCTCCAGGCACTTATAGCTAGGATTCAGGGTGATTGAAGAGCGGATAGACTACATGGAGCATTGGTATCCGACACCCCGGCACAGCGTGTCAACAGCAAGTTCTGGTTTAGAAGTACCTGGAACCCAACACTACCGCTGGAACCATTTAAAATCAATCAGCGAAGTTCCCAGCCTGAACTTCAATGTTGCTTCATGTTGTTTCACCCCGCTGGTGAGCATCTGCCGTCCTCGGCGGGCCCCAAAAGATCCGGGAGCGCGCCTCTCCCCGCCGTCGCAACGCGTCCCGGCCCTGGTCGTGGCCGCCGCAGACGTCCGTCTGGCCGGCAGGTTCGACTTCATGGTGAACGGCGGCGGCGCGGTGAACCTGCAGTTCCAGCGGGCGCCGTTCCGGCCGATGACCCGCGCTGTGGCCGCCGCCTGGAACCAGCTGGTGGTGCTCGAGCCCATCACCATGCTGCTGGACACGGAGCCGGCGGCGACGGAGCCGGCGCCGGCCGCCGCCTGCGCCCGCCACCAGCCGCACCTGCTCCGGCCGGTCATCGTCAACACGTGGCAGCCCGACCTGGCCACCGACGCCGCCGAGACTGTGGCTGTGGTGACCGAGACTCAGGTCAGTCGGACGACCCTGGGATAGTTGTCACGTGGGCTGGCGTCAGAAGGGAGGTCGCGAGGGCTCGAGTCAGTTGGGACGCTTCAGCTGATAAAACAAACGGCTGCATTAGTCATCAGCAAACAGCAAATCCCTGTCTGAAACGGGCCTCTCGTGTCTAGACATGAAGTATCTCATCAATATATTTATAAATCCTAGTGTCTTTCCGTAACCCCTCCCCCATATTAAAGTGTTTCGGGAAATCTCCTCTGGAGTTGTCGCAGCCCATGTTCGGTGATAGGTTTGCCAGCACCTGTGCTAGTTAGGACCCCTAGTGCAGCAGATTACCGGATATTAAGCTGGTGACATTCGATCGCCCACCCGGCGACCCTCAGTCCGCTGCCGTGTTCACCCGGGACGGGAAGACGGGCTGGCGACCTTCGTCTGCCTACCGTGTTCGCTCCGGGGCGGAAGGACGGGAGGGCGGGCTTGCGACTCTGTCCGCCTGCTGTGTTCCCGGGGCGGGAGGGTGGGCCGGCAACCCTCAGCCCGCCTGCCGTGTTCGCTCCGGGCGGGTGGACGGGAGGGTGGGCCGGAGACCCTCTGTCCCCCGCCGTGTTTGCTCCGGGGGGGTGGACGGGAGGGTGGGCCGGTGACCCCTGTCCCCTGCCGTGTTTGCTCCGGCGGGTGGACGGGGGGTGGGCCGGTGACCCTCTGTCCCCTGCCGTGTTTGCTCCGGGGCGGTGGACGGGAGGGTGGGCCGGGACCCTCTGTCCCCTGCCGTGTTTGCTCCGGGGCGGGTGGACGGGAGGGTGGGCCGGTGACCCTCTGTCCCCCTGCCGTTTGCTCCGGGGCGTGGACGGGAGGGTGGGCCGGGGACCCTCTGTCCCCTGCCGTGTTTGCTCGGGGCGGGTGGACGGGAGGGTGGGCCGGGACCCCTGTCCCCCTGCCGTGTTTGCTCCGGGGCGGTGGACGGGAGGGTGGGCCGGTGACCCTCTGTCCCCTGCCGTGTTTGCTCCGGGGCGAGTGGACGGGAGGGTGGGCCGGGACCTCTGTCCCCTGCCGTGTTTGCTCCGGGGCGGGTGGACGGGAGGGTGGGCCGGTGACCCTCTGTCCCCTGCCGTGTTTGCTCCGGGGCGGGTGGACGGGAGGGTGGGCCGGTGACCCTCTGTCCCCTGCCGTGTTTGCTCCGGGGCGGGTGGACGGGAGGGTGGGGGCCGGTGACCCCTCTGTGCCCCGCCGTGTTTGCTCCGGGGCGGGTGGACGGGAGGGTGGGCCGGGACCCTCTGTCCCGCCGTGTTTGCTCCGGGGCGGGTGGACGGGAGGGGGCCGGGACCCTCTGTCCCCCTGCCGTGTTTGCTCCGGGGCGGGTGGACGGGGGGTGGGCCGGGGACCCTCTGTCCCCTGCCGTGTTTGCTCCGGGGCGGGTGGACGGGAGGGTGGGCCGGGACCCTCTGTCCCCCGCCGTGTTTGCTCCGGGGCGGGTGGACGGGAGGGTGGGCCGGTGACCCTCTGTCCCCTGCCGTGTTTGCTCCGGGGCGGGTGGACGGGAGGTGGGCCGGTGACCCTCTGTCCCTGCCGTGTTTCGCCCGGGGGGTGGACGGGAGGGTGGGCCGGTGACCCTGCCCCTGCCGTTTTCGCCCGGGCGGTGGACGGGAGGGTGGGCCGGTGACCCTCGGCCCGCCTGCCGTTTTCGCCCCGGGGCGGGTGGACGGGCAGGGCAGGCGATTCTTTGTCCGGCTGCCGCGTTCCACGCCGTAACCCCAAAGACCGGGTCACGGCCGCCAGCGCCGGCGTCGGGTCGTCCGGTGAGCTCTTGGGCGTCTCTATCGGTCTCCAGACGGCCCGTGTCGCCTCATCCGCCGGTGAAGTGGATCGGGTCACCCGTGTAGATCGAGGGGGCTTGGGGTCTCGGGCTATCTAACGACACTGCGAGGAGGTCGTAATTTTTAACGGCCTGCGGGAGCCTGGTAGGAGATAAGTGTTACCTGAACCGGCTTAAGACGTCCGGCTTTAAGAAAAAGGAAAGCAAACAAAAATATGTTTGATAGGCACGATACCATGCACCACACTCATGCAGTGCAAGATCAACCCACATAACATAGATGCAGTTGGCCAGGCATCGGTGGTGTCCGCTTGTCTTGACATCTTGACATTAGACATCTTGATGTTCACCTGATGTCCACTTGTCCACAAAACCACTAAACTGATCTTTCCTCCGTTGGCTGTTTGTTGTATATATATATATATATATATATATATATATATATATATATATATATATATATACATTCAGATCTTGTGAATGATATAGTTCTGTCGGCTGAGACAGTCGATCAGCAGCGATGTTCAGTGCCGGATGGAAAGGTTGCACCATCAGGCTGCACTGGTCCTCAGAGTACAGCGGAAGTCGGGGCTCATGACTCACTTTCCGCTCAGGCGTCCTGTAAGTCATCGAGATAATATGGAGCACCTGCCGCAGCAGCTCTTGGCGCTTGATGACGTCGTCACATGCCCGTACATATCCGAATGAAATCACCGCGACACGGCGATCACACGCCGTCTCACGTAGTTTTGCATTGGCTGCGAGCGGCCGTCAGCCAGCTGACAGCGCGCTCCGAAGACGATGGCGTCATTTCATGGTTATGCGAGCTCATTTGAGCAAATCAGAAGCGGCGGCTCGATTTAGATAGCCGTGAGCACGTACAGATGCCGGAGTTTGTGCTGCAGCAGGTGATGAGTGCAGATTTAAGGGCGCTGCTCCAATGCAGTTGTTGCCATCAAGTAAGGACTCAGAATGTTAGCTACTGCGTCAACCGGTGCCGATTCCGTGCTCAGTTGGCATCACTTACTCACATGCTGGTGATGGTTGGATTATTTAACGACCAATTCAACTTTTTGTCTTCTAGCGTCTTCAATGTGCAACGCCGCCGGTCGCGGGCCTGGCGTTAATTGACTGCGGTCAGGCGTGAAATAATTTAAATAAACCCACCAGCTGCTGGTCCAATTCTGATGGCCTAAAGGCTGAAAAAGAACTATGAGCCGTTTTCATGTATGTTCTCTTTTGACTTGTCTATTCCCAGCGATCAAAATTTGACGTTGTGCTGAGCAGCTTGTGAACCGCGTTGCCGCCTTGCAAGATATTGCCGACGGCACTGTCCCGCTGAGATCGTCGAAGGTCTTGCGTCACATGTTCTTGATACAGAATACGAACTGACGAAATGACACCGATCTAAGTCGGTATAGAAAGTTGGGATCGAGCAACGCTTGCGGTTTGGGAATGATAATGTTACAAATGAAGCAGAGCAGAGCGCGAGGATACTAACCGATAATTAAATTAAAAATACTGCGGTCATTACAGGACACTTCACTACACGACAATCGCTTATGGCTTTGTCAATGCGCTTTGTTCTGTAGATAGAAGAATATTCAGGCTTAAACCCTCATGATTTCGCTGTACATCACTGGGTCTCACTGGGTCATGCCGTACATCACTTGGGTCTCATAAGGTTGAAATGCACGCAGTGATTTAGTATGGTGTAGAGTCCGTTATCAGAGTACTGCTTCCGATTCATTTGATTCAATATTTTGATTCGTATTCATGTTAAATCCAATCAAAAAATCGTCACTCTCCGCCAATATGTTCCTCAATCTAGCAAGCTAACCCAAGCCATGCAGGAGGCTCATTTTCAATCCAGATCACCGCCGTATTCCTATTACGGGGGCTGGCACCGACATTTTTTGTTTTCCGCACTGAGAGTCGCGCCAGCCCATCTTGTACGAGCGGAGCTGGCGGCGAATACCCCTATCCGGCCATCCCTGACTGTAATTATAGCTACAGTCCCTTGTTTGCTCGGGTGGATATTTGCTGACTGCAGCCACGGCGACTAATTCGGCGCAATTTGCGCGACCACAACAGGAAATTGGTTTAATTCTGCCTTCTAGAGAAACAAGATGGCTGGGAGTCAAAACCCGGCGGTGACGGTGCCCTGTGACGTTCCCGGATATGACGGATGCTTGCCTGACTCCTTCCGATGAAAACGCTCTCTTTCGTACTCTTATCTCGAAAATGAAGGGCTCATGGTCATAGTAAAATAATGCTACCACGTGTTGTATGTATTCGGACAAATTAGGTGCGCCGATGAATGACCTTTTTTGACGGTAAAGCGCCTTTCAAATCAACCAGAGCGATTTGGATGCCGACGCGTTATTCAGCGCCGAGGTCCTTCCAGCAACATAACCATGGACATGAACAACACTCTACAGCATACCAGAGCTCTGCAATCACGGCTCCCCATTAGTGATTGCGTCGGGAGCGGCGTGTCCCAGTTGCCGAAAAAGTAGGAATTTTCTGGGAGTAAAACCTTCTCTAACTGCTTATTGATATGACGCTGTTGCGTCCTTCAGTCCCGCGATACATAATTATTTATTGCGTACCTTTTAGAACCGCCAGATGATAGAACCTTGATGAGATCTTGTGCCACTTTGGTGCTGGACGGCCTTGGATCGGTACCTTAGTTTTAACTGTCAGAACGTAACCCTGCCCGTAATAACGATACGTCTCCGTTTTGGAGTAAAACTCGAAAACGGAGCTTTGGGGCGCGTTGACGGCAGCTGTCCACACAGCCAACACGGTGCCGTGTCCTGTCGGGTGTCTTACGCGTACAGTGTCTCCGTACAGTGTCTCCGTGTCTCAGTGTCTTACGTGTCTCCCCACAGGTACTGCAGGAGTCGATCGAAATTCCCGGCACTGGCCTCCGCCTCGTGTACAACTCGCAGGACGCCTCGGGCTACCACTCGACGCTGTTGCTCCGGCTGACCTCCGACCCGGTGCCTGAAACGCTGATCTTGGTCCACCTCAAGGTCATCGTCGAGGGCACGGTCTTCACGAAGACGTTTGAGTCCGACCCCAACATTACCTACAGCTACTCCTGGAACAAGCGGAACGTCTACGAGCAAAAGGTTACTTCCGGGTTCACTGAACATTTCAAAGCCCAAAAGAACGAGATCGTAGTGTCTTAATCACAGCAAGCTGCCCAAGAAGCGCACTCTTTCTCCCTTTCGGAACCTCTGTCCTAGCCTGATACACTGCTCCACCGCTGCAGGTGGGTTTATCCACACCCGGCCGAGCATGTTTTTCGGCGCCAATCCCATCCCCACTGCTGGCGCCGGGCGGGGCGTCTGGTGGCGCGCCACACGCGTCATCGGAGCCGCCCGCACGCCCCTTTGAAGAGCCCGTCATCCCGCGCCGCGTCGTTAGCCGTTTTTCAGCGGCGACAGGCCGGCCGGGCGCGGAGTAATCATTAGCACCTGGCCGCGGCGGCGGAGAGGGTCGTTAGCGGCGGCGGCGCGCTGGCCGCCTCCGACGTTTGCTCGAGTCACGCATCGGCGGCCGCGTGCCGCGGCCGACAACGGACGGGCGCGCCCGGCCGAGCGCGTGATGTCAGGAGTCGTCACGACCAGGTCTTAGGTCGCTCGCGTGGCGGTGGTGCTGTTTCCGGACCCACGTCTCCTGGCAACGGCTGGTGCTGGTCGCGGTCGTTGAGCAGGCCCCTCGCCGGGGCCTCAGCGGCGACCGCGCGACACAGCCTTCTCGGCCAGGCACCGGCCCGAATGTCCCTCGCCTCGTCGCCAGTTCCCGCCGTCGGCCCGCGGCACTCACCGCCGTGTGGGCCAGCTGTGATCTCGCAATCTCAGTCGGCCACGCACTCGGCACGAGTCTGAAGGGGGCTCCGTCTCGCCGTGGCCGGCGCCGGTGCTGACCGCAGCTGTGAGTCAGCACCGGCGCCGGCTGCGGCGCGCCAGCGCTGCCAGCCGCCTCGCCCCACCCGCCACACCGGCTCCCGGCCGCCCGCGGCCATCGCCGGCTGTTTGTGTGCGGTTCGCCGCCCGTCTCAATCACCACCTCCGATCCTCACACAGCCGGGGGCGGCTGGATTTCCCGGGCCCGACGCGCCGTCGGAGGACCGCCGCCGCCTGGCCGCTGCCGCGTCGCGCTCGACGCGCGCCGGCCCGACGCTCCGCTGATGGAGTGGTGGGTGGCCCGAGCTGCCAGGTGCCACGATTCAGTCGGCAGCCGCCCGGGTCTGTCCCACGGCGGCGACTTTTGTCCCGCAGCCGGGTCTCCCGCTGAGACGACGGCTGCCTGCTGCGCCCTCGCCGCCGCCGCGCTATGATTAATCTTATGTAGATTCGCTGGAACGGAAAATTAAATAGCTGCCTCTGAGTGCGGGTCAGAATATTGGATATCGTCGAATGTCTGAATCCCACTTGCCAAGGCACAGTCGGACAGTTGGGCAGCGGTCCCCAGGCGGGTGTGACGGACGGCGGTGTTGGGGGATGTCTTCTGCAGGCATGCTGCTTCGGAACAAAAAAAAGAAACAGGGGAGAGAAGTCCTGGCAAGAAGAATTTCTTTTGATCCATTTCAGGATAGGCGACCAGCGCCAACTGCCTTCGAGAAACGGATGCTTTAGGCACATCGTCCCCTGCCTAAAATTCGTCCCAAGGAGTGGTCTCGTTGCTATGGATGTTGTCTCAAACAGAATGTAACTTAACCTGCCAGAAACACAGTCATGCAATTTGTATGCGTTCTGACACCACTCTGCATGCTTTCAGTAGTTCTCAAAGTATGCTTGCAATCCAGAGACTCGTAAGTTTGAACGATGTCTAGAAGGCGCTCTTGTGAAACTCACTGGTGTTTACCAAATTCGTCATGCAGAGGTGTCGGTAACAGGCGTGCAGTTTGGCCCGGCACCTTTCGTCGCGGACCATACGGCCGCTGGCAGCCCAGACGTGCGCGATAAGGCGGCTTTGTGAGCTGCCGTCCGCCACCATCGATCACTCGGCCCGACACAACTGAGTCTTTCACGGGGCTGACAGCCGACAGACGGCCGAGGCCCCGTTCGTGACTCGGGACGCTTGCATGTTCGGCTAGTTCCAGCCAGCTCCGGGCCGGTCCCGTGTAGTTGTGACGTCTGGGCATAGCTGGATGAAAATTTAAATTGCAATCGGCAGCGGCTTTGCAACTTGGTCTTCCTGGACGGGCTGAGTCAGCGGTCCAGTTTTGTCTGTGTGTGCATGCTTGCTGCTGCGCTTTTGTTCTCGCCTCGATGTACGAATGAAATGAAACAGGCCTCAATGAAACAGTCACGAGCCACCTAACGGTCTCAATCATGCGCGCCAATTTGTGGTACAGGCTAGCTTGCAGTCGACGTTATTAACACTCCGTTGACAATATTTGGTGTCGCAATGTCCTGGTCTAAACTCAAACATCTGGTCTGGAGGATAGGAAGCACTACGTCGGCGATATACCGTTGAGCTGTCCTGCCCGGTGTGCGCCGCGCACCGACTGGTTTGGTTCCCTCGGGCATACCACAGGTGCACACAAGCCCGCCAGGTGACGTCGGGCGTCGCTGGAGGGCTTCCTGACCATCTGTTTTCAGTGGCCGGCAAAGAGTAACTGTAGACGGTCCGAACCGTTCTACCGGCAGGTTCCACTGCCTCGCTCTCTCCCAATGGGCGTGTCGGGACTGGACAATGTACAAATTGCACCACAATCGTCACGCCTGCACCGGGACCGTGTCTGGCGCTCATGGCCATGCTCATCACATTCCTGCGTCCTTGGGGCGTGCACCTACGGATGTGGCGCCGTTCGCCACTCACCGCAGCATTTTCATGCCCGCCGTGCATGAACCGAGGCCACAAAGTGAACCGACACAGGTGTTCCCTTTCTATTAGACCTAAACGTATCCCATCCTGACCCTTGCGGACCCGTTCGTAACGCGCCGTGACTGTTCTGTGACGCTCCGGTCTCGACGCCAGGTGTACGGGATGGTGCAGGCGCACGTGTCGGTGGGGTACCAGTACGTCGACTGCGCCGGCGTCATCTGGGACAGCCGCATGCTGCCCATTCCCGGATTCAGGATGGACATCTCTGACATCGGCGGGTGGAATCTGGACATCCACCACATGTACAACTTCCACGAAGGTGGGCTCTCCGAACGACTGGCGTGTTTGACGATGCGTGTGTTGTTGCCAGCAGTGGAGCCCGCCTCACAGTGTACTGTGTCGGTGGAGTGCACATCTGCCATTTAGGACGTGCATTCTGCTCAAACAGCGCCTCCGCTTTGTGTTTTGAAACCGTGCACTTTATTTCGGTTTATGATGCGTGCCCGCGTATATGTCACGCAATCAACATCACAGGTGGGAATTAAGCCTCTGTAATTTCACTGGAATCTCGAAACCTAATTTGACTGGAAAACCGGAACGGCCGGAATATCGACCGCCGAGAGCGCAGCCAGGTCCGGCCGTGACCTCTCCTGACCCCCTCCCCCCCCCTCTGACCACCGCGCCCGCTGCCTGCCCGGCAGGCATTCTCCAGCGGGGCGACGGCACGTCGGTGCACTTCAAGCGACACCCGCGCCTGGTGGAGACGCTGCTGGGCACGGGACAGCAGCGTCCGCTGCGCTGTCCGCCGGCCAGCTGCTCGGGCGCGGCCAACAGCTCGCGCTTGCTGACGCCCGTGGCGCTGGCCACCGGTGCCGACGGCTCCGTCTACGTGGGGGACTTCAACCTGATCCGGCGCGTGACGCCCGCCGGCGGCGTGTTCACCGTGGCCGAGCTCAAGTGAGTGACGCTACTGGAGCGGACGCGCGGGATAAGAACGGAGGGCTGAAGACTGATGACTGGCGACTGGAGACTGAGGTGCCAACGGTGAGGGAAGATGACCGAGGAGTGAGGACAAAGGACTAGGTAATAGGAAGTGAGCTGAGGACGGATGGCTGATGCTGAGGGCTGAAATCTGAGAGCAACTGATGGCTGCCGGTTGACAGCCGGCGACTGACAACTGACGACTGACGACTGAGGATTAGGGACTGAAAGCTGAAGGCTGAAGGCTAAAGGCTGGGGGCTGAGGAGTGAGGGCTGATGAGGATTGATGAAGACTGATGAGGAGTGGTAACTTAGGACTATGGACTGCGGCTAGGGACACAGGGACGGAGGGCTGAGGGCTGAGATTAAAGGGCGATGCGAATGGGCTGAGGTCTGAGAGACTTGGTTATGAATGGCTGAGCTCTAAGGAATGAGTTCGTAAAAAGTTCTTGACATGTGGTATGACTGATTGGGCTGATGGACTGGGGCTGAGTGACTGATAGTGAGGCGTTTTGTGTTGAGGCTGAAGAGTTGAGTGACGAGAGATTGGATATGAAGGCCTGAAGGACTGAGGCTAGGGCCAGTCGGACGATAGCTGTATGCGCTTATGATCAAAAAAGATGTATGGTTTGTAACAGGCAAGGTGTTTTATATGCGATAATGACGCTTCTTAACTTCAGCGATGCGTGTAATCTTCATATGAGATCAAATGTCACGTATAGTTTTATATTCAGGGACATTGTACCTGATATGTATCTTGCTTTGCATTCCACGAGCTGATTCACTCGTCCATGGTAGCCCAGCAGACTGTGACACTGCACCAGGTGTCCCGACCTCCACATGAAGACGTGCTGCTGCTCGGTTGTACTCGTTGAGGACAGACTCTACACAAAGCTGAACCCCGCACGGGACAATGCCGCGCAGGTCGGCGTCCGCTGCTCCAATCCACGTGTCAGGTGGATGGCGTCTCTGAAACCCTCCAGTATAGCAGTGGTATCTCTCCGCCGCAGCAGGAAACGAAACTTGCACGGCCGTGGCGTTCGGCAGCGCGGCGTGCGTCTCTAAAACCCTCCAGTATGCCAGTGGTATCTCTCCGGCGCGGCAGGGAGGGAGCCTTGCACGGCCGTGGCGTTCGGCAGCGCGGCGTGCGTCTCTAAAACCATCCAGTATGCCAGTGGTATCTCTCCGCCGCGGCGGGAGGCCAGCCTTGCACGATCGTGGCGTTCGGCAGCGCGGCGCGTGTCCGATTAGCTTCGTGTTTACCGTGGCGCGGCGCGCCAGCTCTCGAGATGAGCGGCAGCGTTTACGTTCGGCCAGCGCTGGTAAGCAGCGCGAACAGGAAATTCGCCATGTTTATTTGCCAAACTGCTTTCAGCCGTCGTTAGCGGGCGACGAGGCGTGAAGTTCTCTGGCTCGCTGAAGAGCGCCTCCGTCAGCGAGCAGATAGCTTGTTTCCGGAACGAAAGACGCGTAAACAAGTTTTCTTTGTGTGGTTTTGAGATACCGAGGCGCCTAGCCGCTGAATAAACAGAACGTCAAGGAATTAATTTCCGTTGAGCTCGTACATGCAGTGCGAGCTGCGCATTAGTGCGAAGCGATATGCCCCCGCCCCTTTACGCTACACGATTGCTTCCCATCGTTATAGCGTATCGCCTCTTCGCTGAGCCTGAGTGGGGCACGTGAAAGGACCGGTCACCAGCGGCGCGTTCGCCGCCTGCTCCCCACAGGGCCACCCAGGTCAGCTACAACTACTACATGGCCATGTCGCCGGTGGAACAGCTGCTGTACATTAGCGACCCTGAGGCCCACCAGGTGTTCCGCGTCATCCAGATGGACCAGGTGAGGTGGTCGTCCGAACTGCGGAGGTTCAGGTTACGCGTTGAGAAAAAGCCATCGCCAGACATGAAAAGGAACTGTTGTGATGGACGTTAAGGTGGCGATTGGATTACAGGCGCTGTGAAATGAAGCAACCTGGCAAGCTGCGACATGCTTATTTGACATATTTGTGCATTACCATATTCCATATTCTTTGAAACCCACTTGTTCAAAAATGTGTGTTTATCCGAACATTTTTCGGACTGGTCTGTCTCTTTTCTATTTAAAAAACAGTATTAATAGCCTTATTCCTCAAGAATAACCAGGATAATGGACAGATAGTCCATTTTGTTTATCCACTCCTATCTGACCATTCTCGTGGCTATTCCACGAGGAATAGGGCTATTAGTACTGTCTGATCTATGTGCATGATTTTCCTCGCAAATACACGTAACAACTTACGTCGTCTTCACTATTTTCACGCATTTGTTGCTCCCTTAAGTACCTTCTTTTTATCTTTGAAATGTGTGTACTGTACACGTTGCAAAATTGCGAGTCATTTCACCGCGCCAACATATTTCCCGTAGCGCTCCACTCCATCCGTCAATTTACCTCCCCAGGCGGCACCGGGACCATAACGGGTTTCTGACTGCTGGTTTTTTGCCGCCGCAGGTCAGTGACCCGTCTAAGAACCTGGAGCGAGTGGCGGGCACGGGCGAGCGGTGCCTGCCAGGGGACGACGCGGCCTGCGGGGACGGCAAACTGGCGCTCGACGCCAAGCTGTCCCATCCGAAAGGTGCGTGCCGGCCGCGGCCAGTAACCCCTGTGGGTCACCGCCGACTGACCCGTGGCGTCGCCGGCGGCGTGGGCGCGGGCTGTTTTTCATCGAGGACACAGCGGGCCGTTATCAGGCCATCTTGCGGTGCATCGCATTAGGATGCCTGCCATTTCCGGCGATTGGATCGGCTTCATCGGTGACAGAAACATACGACCTGTCGTGTCACTGTAATTGGGTGCGGGGAATGGCGCGCCGTTGTGATATGTATTCACGCGCCATTGTCGTCGCCGGACGTACCTGCGACGGGTGATAGCTGCGCTGTGCCCACCCCACCTGCGCTCGAGATGTATGACATCACCCGGGTGACGTCGCATGCTTCATGCAACGTCCACATGTCTCACATAAAGCCGTCGCTGTCTCACGTGACTTCACCCACCTCACATGATGCGACCGGCCCATATGACGTGACCGCCTCGTATGATGTCATCTGTCTCACGTGACGACACCTGTGCGCCAGGCCTTGCCATATCGGCCGACATGGTGGTCTATCTGGCGGACGGAACCAACATTCGCGTCATCGGCGCTGACGGCATCATATCAACCCTGATTGGCCACCACGGACACAAGGCCGTCTGGAGACCTATCCCATGCTCCGGCGCGCTGCCCCTGCCCGAGGTGAGACCACTGGCCCACTCAGCCCCAGCTCCTGACCGTGATGCCCATAACATTGCAGTCTTGTTTGAAAGGGTTCCCATCGCAGTGGGAGTGGAGGGGAACTAACAACATCGTCTGGTGTGCTTTACATGGTGCGAATAAGAGCTCTATCTGACATGGTCAGAGCGCCATCGGTGGCGGCCGTGTTTGACTCCTGACTCCTGACTCCTGACCCCAGACTCCAGTCTGGTCCAGGCTCCAGCACTGAGTCTCGTCCGGCGCTGTGACCGCCTCGCCTGACCCGACCCGGTCGTGCCGCCAGACGCAGCCGCAGTGGCCGACGGCCGTGGCGCTCAGTCCGGTGGACGGCTCGCTGCACTTCCTGGATGACCGGCTCGTGCTGCGCCTCACGCCCGACCGGAAGGTGGAGGTGCGCGCCGGCCGGCCGCCGCACTGCCCGCGCGACCCGGCCGCCGCCGGCGCCGCCTCGCCGCTGGCCCCGCTCGGCACCCTGGTCGACCTCACGTTCGACGCGGACGGCGCGCTCTACCTGGCCGAGGTGGACGCGGGCAAGGTGCACTACGTGCGCCGGCTGGACGGCGACGGCCGGCTGACGCTGGTGGCCGGCGCGCTGCCCGCCTGTCACTGCCAGAAGGACCAGTGCGCCTGCGAGCCGGCTGTCGGCCCGGGCGCCGCTGGCGAGCTCGCCACGCGCACGCACCTGGTGAGCGTGTCGGCGCTGGCGGCCGGGCCTGACGGAAGCCTGCACGTGGCCGATCAGGGCACGCTCAAGATCCTCCGGCTGCGACACAACCTGCCGCACGAGGGGCCCGAGTTCAAGGTGATCGACCCTGTGCAGAACAAGGTGTACGGCTTCAACCGGTTCGGTCAGCACGTGGAGACCAAGGACCTGCTGACCGGCCGGTCGATATACCTGTTCCAGTACAGCAAGAACACCAGCTTCGGCCGGCTCAGCAAGATCACTGACTGGTCGGGCAACAGCGTACAGCTGGTCCGTGACTACAGCAGTGTCGTCAGCTCCATCGAGAACTCGCAGGTGGGCGTTCGTGATGTTAAAACGGTCCTCAGTTATCGCGTCGTGGGCTTTGCAGGGCGTGTTTGAAATGTGTCCCGCGCGCGGTGTAGAACACGTCAGGTGGAAGTTCAAGAGAATGTTGGAGAGCTTGTGCGGCTTGAATGAAACTCGTCGCGATGGCGAGTGAAATCCTGTGCGCGCACATGGAACGCGTGGAACGCAGGGAACACTGTCCTACTCTGTTCGAGTTTCTTTTGTGAAATAAGTTATACGAAGGCAGTGGCTTGCCCTTTTTATGCGCCACCGCACCATTATACGGGGGTGTAGGTCCGTTTTCAACTGGAGGGGCTCCCCCAACGTGAACTCCTCTCCCCAATTATGAGATGAAAGGGAAGGAATCAATTTGCTGTTGCACTTTTTAAATATTTAATCAGAACCCTTTGAATGGATGGATTCCTGAGATCAGAACTCACCCTAAGCAGTGCTTGCTGTGTGAGTCCTGACGCCTACCACCCGATCGCGCAAACTTTGTGGTAGGTTACACCAGATTTCGTTGCTCATCTCGCTCAAACCATTTTTCGAAACTATGCCCCTGTTTTCATCGCACAAAGGGCCTCATTTGGCACTCTGCGCAGTATTTGCCCGTGAATCTTGTGCGACACCTTGTGACGGCGTTCGTCTTCCGTACAGGGTGAGCGCTGCACCCTACATCACATGACCCGGGACGGCCTGGTCACAAACTTCACCACGTCCGGCAACAAGTACCACTTCCAGTACGACCCTGAGACGGAGCTGCTGCGCTGTCGGAGCGACTCACGCGGTGACGTCTTCCTCTACGACTACGACAGCACGGGCCGCCTGCAGCAGGCGCTGACGTCCACCGGCGAGCGACTGAGGCTGAGCTCGCGGCTGGTGCCGCCGCGTTTCCTCCAGGTGACGGTCGCCAGGGACGACCAGGCGCCGTTCGTGCTCGACATCGACAGCACGCAGGAATCGACCTCGTTCACCTACGGTGAGCACCGGGACGGGCTGTTCGTTGGCTCTACGTTAGCGTGTGGGCAGTGCCAGGAGGAGGTGGTGTCTGGGAGCCGATGCTACCATGCGTGACGGTTACGAATGAAGTGTACTGGTTGGTGAAGGTATGGTCTGGTGCAGGGGCGCAGTCAGGGTTTTCTTGAGAGGGTGAGTTGGAGTTCGGTGAGCATCCGCGCCGATTCAAAATTGTCATTCGGGAGCCATTTATGGTGAAACGCGAAAAAATCGGTCTAAGACGGAGGGCGCCACCTTGCCCCTTCCCTAAGTGTGTGCCTCTGGTGCGCACATCATTTTTCTGCGTTATGAAATGCAATGTTTCAGGTTAAATAGGCTCTCAACATCAGTCAACGGTATGTCACCTAACTCTTTGTCTTCTGCGTTTCAGAGGACACGTCCACGGTGGTCCAGACGTTGGCCAATAACACGATCGTGCTCTCGGAACCCCATGATACGGATACATATGTGACTTTCACAAAAATACAGCAGATGTCGCTGCTGTATTCGCCTCCTGTTCAGGTACGTAACCATCGTCAACAGCACTGGTATTTTTGCGCGCAGTTCCGTTTCCCTTGTTCAGTTAAATCTGAAACGTTAAGTTCTTATACCGTACCATTCCCTTCACTGTGTCAACCTTGTACTCCCTGTAAATGAAATTAATTCAGTAAAGTATGGCAATGGTAGCGTGATATTCCATTTGTCTTGATATTGCAGGGTCTTTCGCGTATCCGGTGGCTTTTAACGGCTCGGTGTTGCGCTGGCGCGTCTGACCGTGTGGGCGCTGTTCCGCAGGTTCTGGACGCGGCCGTCTCGCAGCGCCGCGTAGTGAGAGCGGACCTGAACCACGAGCAGCTGGAGAACAAGCTGGCGCTGACCATGGCGCCCCTGCAGGGCAACCAGATGCACGGCTTCCTGGTGGCCAGGACCCTGCTGGTGAGGGACGGGCGGCTGCCAACGGGCTGTCTTCCATGAAACACAGACGACCAGGGAGCCACGCATGCAATGGCACCGTTGTACTTCACGATGCTAGAAGCTATTTTAGCTCATGTCTCACTGGTGGACCCAGCGTCCCTCTGGCCGTCTACCTGTGAGCGTGATCACATCAATCTCCACGCGACGGCTTTAGATGTCACCGGCCAATTTTTTAAATTCTTGTGTGAGTAACGACGCTACCGACAAGAGCAGCGGTCCCATTAATGAGTTCATGTCGTACAAGATACTGGACAACGTCTGTAGCTTATGTTTAGACGATCTTTGCCACCAAAAGAGCGCCTCATGAACCATTTTTGAAGCAGCAGAGTTCGAAACCTTTGTAATTTCTTCATATCAAGCTGTGTGCCTGTGGCTTCATCAGTCCAATCCCTCTCCTACGTGACCATCCGCCCCTCTGATCCTCTACCTTGCTTGATCCTGCATCATCGCGACACCCCGTTTGTCCGGGGCGGGTTACATGCGTCAGCCACGAGTGGGCCAAGAGCCCTGTGGGAAGGGGACCCAGACCGGGTACCCGCTAATGCGCGGGTTAAAGCTCGGCGGCTAACCCCCAGGCGCATGAAAGTCTACCCCACCGTTAACCATTTCCCTTCCTCCCATTGCCCTGAAATGATCATTTCTGGTCGAAAAGTCTCTAATCCAGACAAACAAACAACCAAACAACCAAACCTATGTGACCCGACCCCGGTGTTCTGCATGTGCCCACTTACCAGCCGCGCACGCCGCGCCACTGAATCACGCGGGCGCCCCCACCGCTTCAGAGTAACGGCTCGGAGGTGGTGTCTCTCGACTACGACCCGGTGACGCTGCGGCAGACAGTGTACACGGCGGCGGCGCCTGGCGCGGCCGGCGCCCGTCAGGTGACGCTCAGCGTCAAGTACCGCGAGTCGGTGGAGCCCGACACCTGGTCGCCGGCCGGCCTGCCGCCCATGGTGGTCAGCTACGACAGGTACGCGCGTTGCGGTTACTGCAGGCGTGGAGGACGCGGTAGTGGCCGGCCGCTCGGCTGGTGCGACAGCTGTCGGCTCACAACTGTCGGCTGTCGGCTTGTCTGGTTGTCACGTTGGCAAGTGATCGCTGATTTTTGTCGCGCAACTTCTCGTGGTGCACCTGCGGTCGTGGTTGATGCAGATGCGCTTGTGACGGCCTCTCGGAACGTATGACATGCCAGTCCCGCTAAGGCAGCATTTAACCAGACTGAGCGATTCTATTACCGATGCACGGCTGAACCACGAACATTGCGCACACGTTTTGTACCATCATCGTTTCCAGTATCGGCCGCCTGGGGCGCTGGCGTTGGGGTGAGCTGACGCAGGAGTTCAGCTACAGCAGCAGCCGGAGCGGACTGGCGCGGCGCCAGGCGGGCGCCAGCAGCGACACCTTCACCTACGACCCCAACAACCAGCCTGCCACCTTCACGCTGCCGAGTCGGCGCCAGTACGAGTACCACTACGACAGCCGCGGCGGCCTGCAGTTCATCATCACGCCCAGTCGCTCGCGCCACTTCCTGCACGTGCAGCCGTCGCTGGGCTACGTCAAGTTCCAGTACGTGCCGCCGGGCGGCCAGCAGCACCCGTGGGTGCGGCGGTACGCGCAGGACGGCCGCCTGCTGCTGTCGCAGCGGCCCGGCCTCGGCGCCACCGCGCACCGGTACGACGGCGCCGGCCGGCGCACGGCCACGGCCAGCGGCGATGGCGAGACGCGCTTCACGTACGCGCCGAGCGGCGCGCTGGTCAGCGTGCGCCATTCGGAGCGCTTCTTCGGCTACCGCTTCGAGCTGGCGCACCAGGGGCCGCTGCTGCGCGAGCGGCGCGAGCAGTTCGACCCGGAGACGGGACTCAGCTCGGCGGTGTTCCGCTACGAGTACGACGGCCGGCTGCGGCCGACCGGCGTCACGGGCCGCGTCGGCGGCCGCCGGCTGGCGCCGCTGGAGCTGCGCTACAGCGCGCGCACCGGCCAGCTGACGCAGCTCGGGCCATTCAGCGTACAGCGCGTCGCCGACAACGAGACGGTACTGGCGGCCGGCGGCGCCCGGCTGACGCGCGCCACGGACCGGTACGGCCGCGAGGCGAGCATGGCACTGACCGTCGGCGGCCGGGAGGTGTACCGTGCGCGCCGCCAGTACGACAACGCCGGCCGGCTGGCGGCCGAGCGGGTCTGGCGGCCGGAGCTGGGCGGCCAGCCGCGCAAGCGTACTCTGCACTACGGCCCGGACGGCGAGCTCACCGGCGACGACGCCGACGACTCGTGGCGCTTCGAGTACGACCGCAACGGCAACATGGTGCAGCTGCGCTTCAAGCAGAGCAACATCTCGCTGCAGGTGAGTGTGTGGGCCGCAGCGGCCAGCGGCCCGCTGTGGGGTGTGCGTGGCTGCACGATGTCGTGCTGTCCGCTGCATGCTAACTTGTTTTCAGGAGGAGAGCTTTCCGCTTTGTTTACCGAGGACGAAGCAATGGTATTCGATGAATGTCGATTGGCGTGCCACTCAAATGCATTGGATCGATGGAGAATACGTGCGATGTTAGAGCAGGCCTCCAAAGACCTTCCCCGCGTCCTGCTATTGTCTTGCCATGCTAGCGAAGGGCCAAACCACGCGCGCCCCCAGCAGCGCACCTTCCGGACAAGTGGCGCCACCTGTACCGCCTCGCGCCGCCAGGTGAACGAGCACGACCGGCTAGTGCAGCTGAGCGGCGGCCAGCTGCGCTACGACTCGTCCGGCGCCGTGGTCGAGAACTTCCGCGAGCACAAGTACCGGTATGACGCGCGCGGACTGCTGGCCGCCGCCGTGCAGCCGACCGGCGGCCAGGTGCACTACTACTACGACCACGAGCGCCGCCTACTGGCGCGCAAGGACCAGCTGGGCAACATCACGCAGTTCTTCTATGGCGACCCACGCCACCCGCTGCATGTCACGCACGTGTACCGGCCCCGCTCCGACCAGCTGACGGAGATCCTGTACGACGACGAGGCGCGGCCGGTGATGGTGCGTGCCGACGCGCGCCGGTACACGGTGGTCTCGGACACGTGCGGCACGCCGCTGCTGCTGTACGACGAGCGCGGCAGGCTGGCGCGCGAGGTGCGCAGCGCCGCCTTCGGCCACCAGGTGAGCAACTCGTGGCCCGAGCTGTACCTGCCGGTGGGCTTCTGCGGCGGCCTCTGGGACGCCGTCACCGAGCTGCTGCACATGCCCGGAGGCCGCGTCTACGACCCGCTGGTCGGCCAGTGGCTGGCCCCCGACGTGGACGGCCTGCTCAGCAACCTGATGAACCCGCGCAAACTGCACCTGTACCGCTTCAACGGCAACGACCCGATCAACGTGCGGCCGCGGGACGTGACGCCCACAGGTGAGACGCTCCGCACTTCGCCGCGAGACCTGTTGGCCGGCGGAGCTTCCTGGCTGATCGCCGACACCAGATCTGTCTGCTGCTCACTCATTGTTTGCGTATTTGACGGTTCTAGGGCTCATACGCATGAAGTGTAGACTACCTAGTTATGTTTATTTAGCCAGGGAAGCATTGATGATCTCTTGCCGTCTGCAGCTGTCACTGTTTTGTGAATGACCTCATCATCATTGGATCGCCTCTTCAGAGGCTGCTAGTTGTACTGAGCTGCGGTGCCGACGAACGCTGTCCTGTCTTGCGGCCTCCGGGCTCAGCAGCGTGTTCTCCGTGCCTGCAGACGAGGCCGGCTGGCTGGAGCGGCTCGGGTACCGGCTGGACCGGCTGGCGCCGCAGCTCCTGCTGCAGCCGGCCGTGTTCGGACTGACCGGCGGCGCGACGGCGACGGCGGCGGCGGCGGCGGCGGCATCGGCGGCGCCGTGCCTCACCTCTCTGCGGCCCGTGTCGGGCCGACTGGGCCGCCTGCGACGTCTGCTGCTGACGCCGCGCCGGCTCGGCCTCCTCTCGCGCGTGCCCGAGATGACGCTGCGGCGGCAGCCTGCGCCGGAGCGCTGGCCGCACCGCATCAGCAGCCAGCCGGGCCCACTCGGACCGGGGGTCATCCTGGTGGTGAACCTCGACGGCCGCGTGCAGGTGCGCGGCCTGCCCAGCGTCGACCCCATCGCCAGCGACGTGCTCACCACCGTCTTCAACCAGTCGTTCCTGGTGAACGTGACGACGGCGCCGCACCGCTTGGACGTGTTCCACTTCGTGAAGACGGCGCTGTGGAGCTTCGCCGACGACCACGATCAGCTGACGCGGCTGGCGCAGTTCAACGTGACGGCGCACAAGCACAGCGGCGACGAGCCGGGCCGGCACACGGCCGACCTGCGCATCCACACGGGCACGGCCAGCGTGCACGTGCGCTACGGCGCCACGCCGGCCGCCGAGCACCGGCGCCACGTGCGGCACGCGCGCCGGCTGGCCGTGCGCGCCGCCTGGGCGCTGGAGCGGCAGCTGCTACGGCGCGGCTTTGCGTCGCGCCGCTGGTCGGACGCCGAGCGCGAGGCGATCCTGGCGCGCGAGGGCGTGGCCGGCCTGGACTTCTGGTACCGGCACGAGCCGCACGAGTACCCCGAGCTGGCCGGCGACCCCTTCAACGTACGCTTCGGCCGCGCCGGCTAGCGCGCTGCCCGGCCCATAGCTGCATTGTGATATCTCGGCCGAGACAACGGGACCCGGCTGGTCCATATGCGACGCCCTCTTCGCGTATTCAGACATTCTAGTCATGGCGGGCGGTTGTGTGCGAGAGCTGTACGGTGGACGGACGCTTCTGCTCTTGATTCGCCTCCGGTTCAGCGCCGGCCAGAGGTACCAAGGAATGCGGGGTCTCGGGGCCGAAGTCCCTCAACCATTTTCTGGAATGTGCACTGATCTACGTAACATGCTACCGCATGCTGTACATGACAATGCACGTTGTCGGTGCCAGTGTGGATGCTGGTACAATCCAACGCTGTTGTTAGTGTATATGTTTAGTATGAACTATTCGTTTGTGGGCGCGTATGCAGGTCTGGTTATGTAACCATTCCTTTGGCACGCTGCGACGCACCTTTTGAATCTCTGCTTCGTTTCATGTTTGTAACGAATGAAGTCGGCATTACCGACGGGATATACATTTTGGCTGACGGCATGCCAAATTGTTATAAAGGTGTTGTCTTTTCAGCAGTGCGTTCAAATCCTATATAACTATGGTATGATAACGTCGATGTTTTTAAGGGAATTTCATTACGAACTTGTAAATATACATATTTTCTATCGTGCTTATGTTTGCTACGCATGAACATATCCGCGATCTGCAACTACGGTTGCGGGACGGATGATTGAAAAGCCGACTGGCGCCGGTTTTTCTGGTACTGCCTGTCTGGCCGTGCAAGAAGTCTGCACGCGCCACGTCAGTGCTGATGAAAATATTGTGCATGATCTCTGCACTACCCCCTGGCGTTTCGCGGCATATCCGGCAGTTCGACATTCGGCGTTCAAATCAGTCCGTTTGCGGTCTCCGGGGCAGTGCCAACTACTGATCGATGCCTAACAGACAGGGGAGATAGAGCGATAAGTCGGACATAGCGTAATTAAGCACTACTAACGGCAGGTAATACGGGGATTTGTGTTTGCTAGACATGGCACGGAAAACCATCAAGTAACAGAACGTGACTCACCAGAAAAAGCTAAAAGCTAAGCCCCAAATATGCGTATTTAACCTAGAATGCCTCATAACTTATCTCCCCCGTGCACGACACCGAGGTGCGTTGCGTCTAGGCAAAACCAAACGTAGGGCTACGGAGAGTGATACACCGAACAAACGCTAGCATACCACAAGCCGTCACATTCAGCTGCCTGGCAAATAGAGGTCGGGTCCTCTTGGGGTCACATGGGTGAATAATGGGCTGCATGGGTGTCACCCCTGATTGACACAGAATTTGCCGGCTGTAAAGAGCTAGAAAATCTGGGGAATGCAAAAGTTAAAGCATTATTACAAATAATGACATTTGGACGCTCACCTTCACAGGTCACAGTAACTGGCCCATTGCAGGTCACTCGGGCATCGTCTCTGATCTGCGCAAAACTTTCAGCTTAGTAAACCCTGCCGAGCGAAGCAAAGTTAACTTTATCGTGGGCCGGCGCACACAGGCGTGTGACGTCCGGAGGTCGTAAAGTTTGACCCCAATGACGGGTCACCCAAAGCACCACCGCCACCCATGAGCGATGCTGAATGCGATGAGCAGATAGTCACACTAAGCCACCCTACACGTAATGCTGCCACATCCACTGACGCAAAACCTTATGCCCGTGAAGTTAGCGATTTATTCAGTGATTTTTTTAAGCGACGAGTTCTGACTTCTGTGAAAAGGGATCTCAGGGTCAATTGTGGCATGAGAACACCAAAAATGAACCTTTTTTTGCATTTCATGTGACCTTCAGGGTCAAAAGCTGAGTTAAGGGACGGGGAACTCGATATCACCCAAAAACTACCGGCCGATTTGAAAACCGTGAACATCAAAATATTCACAAGCGCAAGAGGAGGCGTCCTTCAAAAAGTCCTGACATCTCAAGGTCAACTTTCAGGGTCAAACACCGGCTCAAAAGACGGGGAACTCCATGTCACCTAAGAATTACCCGCCGATTTCAAACTTACAGTCATCAGAATAGTCACCACAGAAAGAACTGGCGTCCGTCAAAAAGTCCAGACCTCTCTAGGTCACCGTTCAAGGTCAAAAGCGGGCTTAGAGGACGGGGAACTCCATATCACCAACAAATTACCGGCCGACTCTTAACTTACAAAAAACAGATTTTTTACTACAGAAAGAACAAGCCTCCTTAAAAAAACTGACCTCTCAAGGTCACTCTTCAAGGTAAAACACGGGCTCAAAGGACGGGGAACTCCACACCACTCAGAAATTGCTGGCTGATTTTCAACTTGCAAACATCAAAACGTTCACCAAGTCATGTCAGGTCAGCTCAGTATCTATCCTGATGCTTATGCTTACTTGTGAGTATTCTGATGCTTACAAGATTACATCAGCCGGTAGGTTTGGGTGATATGGGGTTCCGCGTCCTTTTGGCTAGCGTTTGACCTTGAAGAATGACCTTGAGAAAACGACTTTGAGAGGTCAGGACTTTTTCACGGACGTCATTTCTTCTTGTGGTGCACATTCCCACAGCTGAAAGTTTAAAATTAGCCGGTGGCTTTGGGTGTTTTTAAGCTATCTGTGTTTTGAACCCACGTTTGACCTTGAAGAACGATCTTGAGAGGTCAGGACATTTTCTAGAACGCTAGTTGTTTTGGTGGGGAATATTCTGACCTTTGAAAGTTTAAAATCGAGCGGTAATTTTGGGGTAATTTTTCTGTGGTGTGTATTTTAAAGTTCACTGTCTTTTGAGCCCATGTTTGATCCTGAAGAATGACATTGAGAGCGAAGGATTTTTTCATGGGTGGCAGCTCTATCTGTGTTGGATATTCCGATCTTTGTAAGTTGAAAACCAGTCGATAATTTTTTGGTGATGTGTAGTTTCTCACCCTTTGAGCCTACATTTGACCTTGAAGGGTGACCTTAAGAGGTGCGGACTTTGTGATGAACGCGGATTTTTTTCTGTGGCGAATATCCTGATGTTTTTAAGTTTGAAATCGGACAGTAATTTTTGGGTGGTATGGAGCTCCCCGTCTTTTGAACCGGCGTTTGAGCTCGAAGGGTGATCTTGAGAGGTCAGGACTTTTTAAATGACGCCAGCTCTTTCTGTGGTGAGTATTCTGACGTTCATAGGTAAGAATTCGGCCGGTATCTTTGGGTGATATGTAATTCCCCGTTTCTTGAGCCCATGCTTGACCTTGAATGGTGACCTTGAGACGTCAGGATTTTTTGGCGGGCGCTGGTTCTTTCTGCGGTGAATATTCTGATGTTTTTAGGTTAAAAATTGGCCGGTGATTTTTGTGTGATATGGAGCTCCCCGTCTTTTGAGTCCGCGTTTGATCTTGAAGTGTGACCTTGAGAGGTCAGAACTTTTCGATGGACGTTAGTTCTTTCTGTGGTAAATATTTTGGTGTTGATAAGCTAAAATCTGCCGGAGGTTTTTGGTGATATGCAGTAGTCCCCCGTCCTTTAAGCCCGCCTCTGACCTTGAACGGTGACCTTGAGAGGTCAGGACAGACGGGCACCAGTTATTTCTGTGGTGTATATTCTAATGTTTGCAAGTTTAAAATCGGTGGGTAATTTTTGGGTTATATGGGGTTCCCCGTCCTTGGTGTCGGCGTTATATAGCGGCCTTACGGCGTTGACGTGAAGGATGACCTCGAGTGGTGAGGCACTTTTTCGACGACAGCTCCTGCGATGTAAATATTTCGATGCACGCAGTTTTCAAATCGGGTGGTAGTTTTTGGGTGGTATCGAGTTCTCCGTCCTTTTGACCCACCTTTTGGCCTTGAAGGTCACATAAAATTACAAAATAGTCATTTTTTGGTGTTCTCATGTCACGACTGAGTTGGAGACCCTTTTTAGAGAAATTGAACTCGTCGTTAAAAAATCGCTGAATAAATCGCAAACTTCACGGACATCATGCCTTATAGCTCGTCGCCATGGGTTGCCATGTCTTTTTCGGGATTAGAAGTGGCAGAATAGGGTTTAACGAAACTGAAGTCAGAGGGGGGGGGGGGGGCAGCCTGACCTGAAAATACCACGGATAGGCAACCGTAAAGAACATACATCCTGCGGGCAAAATCGGCTGGAACAAGAGGACACCACTAACGTCAGAGGCGGCACTTCTCTATTCATCTCCCAATGGTTGCACCCATCCTAGC